AACATTAAATTCGTATTTTTCTTATAAAAATTTCAAACAACGTCACTGTCAGAATTGCCGCTAATTATTATGTTATACCTAGTCTTTAATTCCATAGAAATATGTGCGAAATTCCAATAACAAGAATTCAAGTATAATAATTTCAAAATAGATATGAACTTCAAATGAATTTAGACCGTATTATTAAAGGAATTGGGTTGATATTTCTATGTGGTTTTATTCAGTACAGATAACGTAGAGATACGGTGGCGGCCTCTGTAAAGGAAGTTACATGTAGGTTAAATATAAGGCTGCGTTTATATTAAAGAAATTATAAGAAATAATATATTAAAATATAGCAAGAAATACCATTAATATTTAGAACAAAATATACATATACTAGCTTTCCGCCAACGCTTCGCGCGCGTGGAGTTCGGTTATATCGCATTTCCAAGAGAACCTTTCAAAAGTCTGGGATAAAAACTATCCTATGTTCTATCTCAAGGTCAACTCTATGTCTGTACCAAATTTCATTAAAATCAGTTCAGTGGTTTAGGCGTGAAAGCGTTACAGACAGACAGAGTTACTTTCGCATTTATAATATTAGTAGGGATATACAAAAGTCTTCAGCTATAGTACAAATCCTCGTAACTATCATTGTATAATTCCACGTATCTATATTAGAAGATGATTAGAATAAAGTTTTATGAAATATTGTCTATATTAATGACTTTTAAGGTAATTTTTTTCATAATTAGTAATAAATTAGACACTAAATAATTACACTGGGAATATATATATATACATATATATATTTTCTACAACAGTAGTAAGCCTTAAGTCTTGATAGTGGCCCCGCCGACCGGAAGTGATACCGGCGAGGGTGTAAATCTCACTACTTCCGCACGCAATCTTAAATCAGGTTAACCTAATATGCATATTGTACTGTTATTTATTTTCGGGGATAGCTATATAACAACTCTTTTATAAAAGCTAGATTTTGGTCAATTTTACTTAAATTAAATACTTTTATTAAATATTATTTAAAAAAAACTTCTAAATACTTATAAATAATATTCTTATTATGAAAAATAACAATAAAAATACTTTCAATCCTTTTCTTAAGTTATAAATATCAAAAATAATTTCTGACAGATAGTGTCACTGTCAGTGACAGTCAGTGGTGGCCTAGTAGTTAAAAGGCCCGCCTCTCATGCACGAGGGCGCGGGTTCGATCCTGGCAAGTACCAATGTGATGTTTCCGAGTCATACCTACTTTATAAGAGTATTTAGACATCACTGATTAATGCATTCCCAAAGAGGGTTGATGTCAGGCAGGCGGCCGGTCGTAAAAACAATTAGCCAAAACTATTCACAACATGTAAGACAGACCCTGGCTAAAGCTGGGAAATTGACAGCAAGAAGAAGATAGTAAGATATTTATCATTATATATTATAATATAACTATTGCTTAAACAAATTTTAACTCGCTTTTAATGAAAAAATTCAATAAATACATACATAAGTTTTCTATAAGATTACTTACGTCACTACGTACGTAGTTTTAATAATATTTCACGAATAAAATTTCGTATTAAGTATAAAATAGAATTGTTATTAAATTACAATATTATTTTGTATATTAATAATTAGATAACACTAGATTTTGACCGCGATTTCGTCTGCCTTAATCAGAATTAGAAATGTATAGACCGGGCGAACTCTGTTCCTTAAAGACAGTAGATAAGATTTTGGATTTGATAATTTATTTTTCTTTTTCAATCGTATGTAAAGTATCCTACTTATGTCCTTTCTATGTTCTAATCTATCTCTCCACCAATTTTCATCCAAACCCGTACAGTCGTTGGAGTTATAAATAGTGTAACTAACACGACTTTCTTTTATATATAAAAATTAACGATGATCATTAATGATCATATGATAATGATGATGATTAACTAAATATATATATTATATGTATTATTCTGAATATATGTATGTACTAGCTTTCCGCCCGCAGCTTCGCCCGCGTGGAGTTCGGTTACATCGCGTTTCCAAGAGAACCTTTCAAAAGTCTGGGATAAAAACTATCCTATGTTCTTTCTCAAGGTCAACTCTATGTCTGTAACAAATTTCATTAAAATCAGTTCAGTGGTTTAGGCGTGAAAGCGTAACAGACAGACAGAGTTACTTTCGCATTAATAATATTAGTAGGCATGAATAAAAATCTTTATAACACTACTAATATTAAAATATCTTAATAAAGAAACGTTATTGGTTATTATAATGTACATTATAATTTGTTTATGTAACACGCCATAGAAAATATGAGTATGTCAAATTCTGAGACATGACTTGAGAATTTTGTGCTTGTAGTTGAGTAATTGCTATGAACAAAATATACAGGGTGACTGGTGAATTACTATCAATATTTAAGGAGAATACTCGGTACATGATTCTCATTCGAATTATGTAAAAAAAATAGGTACTTAATTTTTGACCAAATTTCCGTATAAATAAATAAAGTGTTGACACGTTCCAAGAGTTCCAAGTGTGTGTGTGTGTGTATACCTAATCTGTAGGGTGTTCATACGATGCGTAATTAATTACATAACTTTTGGTTAACTTTACTTAGAAGTTTATTAATATTTATGTTATATTAATTTTTATTTTGTCATATATGATCGTCAAATATCACGTCCTCAAATATCGATAGTAATTCACCAGTCAACCTGTATAAGTATGTATTTTTAATGCTACATTATAAAAAAATAGAATTAAAAATTTCGTCCAAAAAAAAATTAAAGCTAACAATCCTTATGACTTAGGGGTTTGAAAAATAGTTAGTTATTGGCCTATTCTCAGACCTACCCTGTAGGTCACAAAATTTCATCAAAATCGGTCTAGTCGTTTCGGAGGAGTTCTCTGTCTAACACAGCGACACGAGAATTTTATATATAAGATATATATGCTTTTGTATTGTTACTTATTATTAAAATATTATATTCTTTTAAGTAATTAAGACACATTAACTTCGCGTGTTCATTTAAATGAAACTAATAGTTTTTTGATTATATACAACTTTATTTTTGATAAAAAATATCCGAAAAATATTAGTTTCATTTAAATAAAACAAATTAGTTATAAAAAACAATTGTTAATCTATCTTTGTGAGTTTAAGACATTTTTTTTATCATTTCCAGTTTGTCTAATACTTTAATTTAGTCATGTATTTTTTTATTTCTTATGTTATTCTGTAATTATGTGACAATTATATCATATATGTATCACATTTCCATAGGTCACACTATTTGACCTCTATTTGTTATAATGTTAAATTTTAAGGGTATTAAGTAAATATTTACTTATTTATTGATATATAAGAAATTTCAACATATATGTCTTTTTTCCAACATGTAATACATATTAGACATATAAACTAACTAATATATATATGTAATTTTTTTCAGGAATTTATTTGTAATTAAAATAATCAAATAAGATTTTTATTATTGATATATTTAAGCCTAATAGACCAGTGGCGATAGCTTTTAAAACATAATTAAATTATAGTAGAATGAAACTCATTAGAAAAGGAGGATAATATTATAAAAATTAAAGGAAAAATAATTTACGGGCGATCTGAGGTCGGGAAGGGATTGGGGATGGGAATTTAAGGGTAGAAAATGAGTTTTCTCGATTTCCGGCAAAACTAAAAGTCCTACGGAGAAATGTTATATGGCAAAGTTGTAGATAATAAAAAGATCTAAAACTTTTGTACTAACATTTTTTTCACATAACATCAGAATTTATGTGAAAAACTCGAAAAACCAAGTTTTCGGTTTTTTATTTTTATCTCTTACAAAAAACAATTTTTTGTCACGAAATTTGGTGAAAACTTTCGTTTTGATGTTACAAATACACTGTAATTTATTTGATTAGAAATATTTATTTTTTCAGCTTATTTTGAATAAATACCGAAAAATCTGCCTCATTTTCAATCGAAAAATTACCCATCAAAATATCAGCTATTTTAAAAAAAATTATATATGTTTTCAATTTGTTAAAACCTCTATTTTCCGATGGTGAAGAAAAAAAATTTCACATAAAATTTGAGGTTATGTGAATAAAATCTTAGTTCAAAAGTTTTAGATCTTTTTATTATCTACAACTTTGCCATATAACTTTTTTTTAGGACTTTTTTTTTCGGAAATCGAGAAAACCCATTTTTTATCCTTAAATACCCACCTCCATACTTTACCCGACCTCAGATCGCCCGTAAATTATTTTTCCCTTAATTTTTATAATATTCCCCTCCTTTTCTAATGGGTTTCATTCTACTATAATTTTTTTTAGTTTTCATTAATTTTAAGGCATCTGCACTGGCCTATAAATCAACATGTTTTTATGTCAATGTTTTGTATTACAAAATTTTGTCTTAGTAATATCAGGTTAGAAAGAGAAAGAAATCTTTCTATCTCGCTCTATCCTGTTCTGCTAAATCAATTAATTTCCAGGAATATTCACAAAAGCTGTACCAATATAATTTGACAAATAACACAATAAAAATTAAACCCATATCCAATTATATTATGCCAGGTCATCCAAAAAGGTTTTAATCTAAATGAAACTAATATTTTTCGGATTTTACTTCGCATATTTATTTTTGATTATAAACTACATACTCCCGACGTTTCGGCTACTTTTCAGGAACCGTGATCATTAAGACGAGATGTGAGTGTCTGTCAGTTGAAAAGAAAATTTTGAAAGAAAATTTTCTTCTTCAAGAAAATTAAGAAATCGATGGCGGTAGGAGATAAAATGACCAGACCAACTGACAGACACTCACATCTCGTCTTAATGATCACGGTTGCTGAAAAGTAGCCGAAACGTCGGGAGTATGTATGTAGTTTATTAAATAAAACGCGAAGTAAGAATCCGAAAATATTAGTTTCATTTAAATGAGTACTCGCGAAAATCTTAGATGTCATTAGGTTTTAATCTATCAAATTTCCTTGCAGCCCGATCCTGCAGCCGCCAAGCTGAATGTGCTGGTATCACCAGTTCTTCCTGCGTCAGGACCCACTATGACCCAACCACCAGATGTCTCTGCGGGGATAATTCACCACCACTCAATGGACAATGCGAAGCAGTCACTAAAGGTACTTAAAATTACAAAAAAAATCCACTATGCCATAGATTTGTATCAAAAAAAACTATATTTATGTGATAGGAGGAATATTTTTTGGGTAGATACGAGTTATTTTAGACTATTTCGGTTTCGGTTACTTTGTAGCGGTTCAAGAAGAAAATATATAAATATGAAGGTTTTATGTGTTGATAAAGATTGTTTTATTAGTTTCTAAGACACAATATGTACTTTATGAGAGTATTTAGACACCACTGATTAATGAAGGAAAACATGAGGAAACATGGACTTAACAAATTAAGTTTGAAATCACCAACCCGTCTTGTGCAAGCGTGATTATTAATGCTCAAACCTTCTCCATGTGAGAAGAGGCTCAGCAGTGGGCTCTGATAGGATGATGATGATGAAAACCATATATATGAATAGTATATGTTCTAAGCTACATTATAGCTTAAATACTCAAACTTCTAAACCATTATATCTTTAAAGACATAGATTCTTATTCAAAATTAATTTCAGCTTATAATCTATTGTCACAAGTGGCGCCATCTGTGTTACTAATTATAATATACTATAATCCTTACAATTATTATTATGACTGATTATAATTAAATAGCTTTCCGCCCGCAACTTCGCCCGCGTGAAGTTCGGTTATATCGCGTTTCCAACAGAACCTTTCATAATTGGGATAAAAACTATCCTATGTTCTTTCTCAAGGTCAACTCTATGTCTGTACCAAATTTCATTAAAATCAGTTCAGTGGTTTAGGCGTGAAAGCGTAATAGACAGACAGACAGAGTTACTTTCGCATTTATAATATTAGTAGGGATAATAATACTGAATCATTGTAATTTTAAATCAACATTTAAGTATCATTGTATTTGTAAACTATGTATAATTGGCTTCAGACATTTTGTAACACATTACTGGAAGTAAAGAACATTAAGAATCAAGACTTAAACTATCTAGTACAATATGTATATATTTTGCTAAATTAATGACAGATTACGAAATCGATTGTACGTCAAATATTTCATCAAAAATTCTATTATTAATATTTATTTTACTTTCAAAAGTAACATATCAAAAAGAATTTTAATATATATAATCTAAATTATTAATATATAAAATAAATAAATTAAATTGAATATTATTTTTATAATAGCTAATTACTTCAAACGCTATTAAAGAGGAAATGAAAAAACTTTGATTGATCGCTTGATTTAAGATAAGATATAAAGCTTTGAAGGTATTAAGAGTTTTATATAAAAGAAATATATTAAATATATTATATATATTTGAGAGTAAAAATAATTATTATAATAAAGTCAGTGGTGGCTCAGTGGTTAGAGGGCCCGCCTCTCGTCACCGAGGGCGCGGGTTCGATCCTGGCCCGGGCAAGTACCAATGTGATTTTTCTGAATCATATGTACTTTCTAAGTGTATTTAGACATCACTGATTAATGTTGATTCCCAAAAGAGGGTTGATGTCAGGCCGGCGGCCGCTCGTAAAAACAATTAGCCAAAACTATTCACAACATGTAAGGCAGACCCTGGCTATATCTGGGAAATTGCCAGGTAGAAGAAGAATAATCTTTATTGTACATCATTAAATTAACAACTATTAATTACAGTAGACAAAAATCTTGAGAGTATTTGTATGTAGAAAGTTTCATTAAATTTGCCCTAATTTTATTTATTAGACAAATTTTTTTGGTCTCTTAGTAATTTTTGTACATTTTTTGTGTTTTTTTTTTCTCGTTTCGTCAAATATTACGCTAGTGTAGAGTCGGAATCGAATAGCGCCACCCAATTCCTTCCTATGTGTAAGAGGCGATTAAAAGGATTTTATCATGAAAGACAATGTACGTCTAGAGTTTCCCTGTTCTTAAAAGGCAGATTCTGTACGTCAGATGGCAATCGGTACAATATTATAAACCAAAAAGCCAGCTTTTAGGTATAAATGGATAGGTTACAATAAGTTAAAACGATAACGAATTTCGTCAAATATAAATACGAGTTACATCATACTTAGATACCAATTATATGTAACTATTTAACTTTAATATTATATATATCGGATTTATTACAAATTCGCTATTTTTAAAGAGAGAGACGCCAGCCTCGCTGACGTAACTAATGTCACTTCTTCTAATACGTTCCATGATATTTTAAAATGAAACTTCAATTGTTCTTAACGCTCCTGTATTTCTCGAAGGTTCTTCATAATCACATACTTCAATGGTCACTCACTGAACTCTGAATTCTGCCGTCGTGCGTCCAGACGTCATATTTATACCAAGATTCAAACATAGTTCTATTCACCTTTTAAACAATCTTTGATTTCGTTTTATTTTTAACAATAATCATGAATACTAATGAGTTTTAATAATAATTGATGACAGTCTCAAGTTATTTTCACGTCGCATCCGTCATTAAAGCTGATAGCGCCGATATATGTATATAATATTATTTGTAATTAAAACATAATACAGTATAAAATCATAAATCACCATTACGTGACCCTAATCTTAATCTTAATTCATTTGAACCGAAAAAATATGGGTTATTAGAATTTTTATGGCGTATTTGGCTTACAGTCTCCAAACTAGCCTTACCACAAACTAAGTCTAAACTACATAAAGAGATTTAACAATGAATCTATATATATAAAAATGGATTGCTGTTCCTTAGTCTCGCTAAAACTCGAGAACAGCTGAACGGATTTATCTTATCTTAGTCTTGAAATGTTCGTGGAGGTTCAGGGAAGGTATAAAAGCTGAAAAAAATTGATTCATTACTGGGAAAACCAAAAAAACAGCCCTTTTCTATTTCCCATACAAACGTGATTTTACATTAGATTTGACAACTAACTAATATGTCAATCATTCTGTCGCACTTCAAAACACAGAGATTTATGGCTTACAAGTAAACTCTAAAAATATAAATAAAAAAAACGTAATAGATATTTCTTGATTATAGGGCGACACGAAGTTCGCCGGGTCTTCTAGTAGGTATATACAGGGTGACTGGTGAATTACTATCGATATTTGAGGACGTGATATTTGACGATCATATATGACAAAATAAAAATTAATATAACATAAATATTAATAAACTTCTTAGTAAAGTTAACCAAAAGTTATGTAATTAATTACGCATCGTGTGAACACCCTACAGATTAGGTATACACACACACACACACACACTCGCGCGCGGCGGCGTGTTGTTGTATCAGCACGCCGCCGCACGCGTCCACACTTGGAACACTTGGAACGTGTACACACTTTATTTATTTATACGGAAATTTGGTCAAAAATTAAGTACCTATTTTTTTTACATAATTCGAATGAGAATCATGTACCGAGTATGCTCCTTAAATATTGATAGTAATTCACCAGTCACCCTGTATATGTATGTATCGCGGGAACAAAATACGTTTTTTACTCTGTAAGAAATTTCTGTTTTTTAATAAGAATTTTTGTTATAATAAACTCAGTGAAAACTACACATAATTAGTGTATTTCTTTAGTATTATAATTCTTTAAGGCCGCACTATCGTTATGGCATCTGGCACGTGATTTTAATTGCGACTTTTTAACTCGAAGGGCACTGAGACACGTAACGGAAAGCTAGTTCGTTAAAACGACGATAGATGGCGCTGTTTGTAATTAAAATTACATATTGTGTACATTTAGAATGTAAAGAAATAATTACCTATATACCATTTTTGTGGACGTAATTTTAATTTATTTCTCTTATTAGTAAAGTATCTTTTAATTTAAAAGAGCAATACTATACTGAAATTTCACGTTTTTATTGTGTTGCCAAACAGTTTGGGTAGGACTTATTGTAATGTATATTTTGATTATCGCTTTCGTTTTCTAAACGTCTACTCATATTTTATTCATACTAATAAAATGGTGATATAATAAAATATCTTTTACAAAAGGAATTCACCAAACCATATATAAATATTGACCACAAAGATCTCATATGAAACCAAAACAGTGATAAAAAAATTATTATCTTCATGTGAATAAAATTATCACTTAACAATTAATGTGTAATATTTCAATATTTTTTTTTAGCCTATCAGAGCCCACTGCTGAGGCTTTTATTTCTCACATTTTAATCTTTATATCATGTAATATGTTTATTCGTAAAGCTTTTAAACGTAAAACAATTCAGCCACCAATAATTCTGTACAATTGTTATTTCTACCAAGATTATTATTACTTCTAATCATAGTCTAAACATAGACTTTTTAATATGTATATAAATCTTGCCCTACCAACAAATTACCTCTCAATATCTGTTGAAAAACCTTTGCAGTCCAATTCTCATCTCGTCTTTGTGATCAGGGTCGCTACAAAGTAACCTAAACGTATGAAGTATGTTGTTAAAATAATTACAAAACATTATTACGTACGAGCTATATATTAAAAAATAAATGAACATCGCCGGGGCGACATCGTTGTATGTATAATATGTAACTCTTGAGGCCGCTAACTCCGCGGAACGAACACCAAGCGTGTGAACCAGAAGATTCCTGATACACACAAGCTATGGAATGGTATTGCTATCCTAACATCGGGTCAATCATGTAGTCTTAGGTGTAGGTTATAAGTTTTGATATGTAATTCTTATTAATATACATATATAAGTTTCGTACATAGTTTCCTTGGATTCTCTGGTTGCCACCATATATATAGATGTCTCCTATGTATAAGGCCCAATATGTAAAATGACAATATTTCAGTAGAGGTGTTTTAAGTTTGATTTCAATGTATCTTGTACATACAACCGATGCTTTTGAAACTTTGCATAGCAACTATAACATACATGTAAGTCATTTAAGATTGATATTATTTTTCTAAAAATACCAGTTTAAAAAATATGTATACGAGCCCTTATATGTTAAAAACTGTGTTACTTATGCCCTTTTACAATAAAAACTAAATCTTTCCACCAACAAATACTAATTTTTTTAAATGGATGTTGAAATACAGTATTATGAAGCAAAAAAAGAAAATGAATTGCTACATTAATTATGACTACAGCCGGAGGTTCCAAAAAAAACAAAATTTACTTATAATTACTTTATTCTAATTAACCTATCGTTACACGATTGAACGAAGAAGTGATTTTATAATTTTAAAACTGATTTACAATGACTCGGGAAGCCCTGGTGTTCTCTTTCTTCATTCCATTCCCATAAGTTCCATGGTGTCAGCATTCGGTGTTTAATTTAATAATTTTATGTTTTGCGTAACACATTGGCCTATACATAGGATGCATTGTTAATTTTGTTAATTCCCAAAAGAGGGTTGATGTCAGGCAGGCGGCCGATCGTAAAAAACAAATAGCCAAAACTATTCACAACAAGTAAGGCAGACCCTGGCTATAGCCGGGAAATTGCCAGGTAGAAGAAGAAGATTGGCCTATACATAGGATGCATTGTTAATTTGTGTATATATATTAGTTTCTTTAAATCTCCCTAGCTTTGTACCATGTCTGCGCTAACTCCGACGAATGTAATGACGGCCTGGTCTGCGGTACTCCTAACATTACTGGCGCTGCACCAGCCCACCTCAGAGTTCTGTCACCTCAAGACAAGATCTGCCTGTGTGATATTGAGAGCGGATATAGGGAGAAAGATCATACTTGCAACGGTACGTATATATATACAGGGTGACTGGTGAATTACTATCAATATTTAAGGAGAATACTCGGTACATGATTCTCATTCGAATTATGTAAAAAAATAGCCACTTAATTTTTGTCAAAATTTCCGTATAAATAAAGAAAGTGTGGACACGTTCCAAGTGTTCCAAGTGTGGACGCGTGCGTGTGTGTGTGTGTATACCTAATCTGTAGGGTGTTCACACGATGCCTAATTAATTACATAACTTTTGGTTAACTTTACTTAGAAGTTTATTAATATTTATGTTATATTAATTTTTATTTTGTCATATATGATCATCAAATATCACGTCCTCAAGTATCGATAGTAATTCACCAGTCACCCTGTATATATAGGTTTAAAGAATTTATTCTCAAACTAGCTGTGCCCGCGACTTCGTTCACGTGGAATAGTGACTATGAGCAGCGTTTTTTTTTAAATATATACTTATTTTTATTTTGCATCATAATCACAGTCATTTTGGGTAGCTAAAAAACCTACTTTACTGTAATGCTTCTCTATATAAGATTTATGGTGCCTATGTATGTATAAGCATAGAATAGTGTTCGACGTGATTCTTTAATTTGACATAACTTTTTTATTTATGAACCGATTGATATGAAACAAACACTAAAGCATAACTGAAGCATACCACAATATATTCGTGAAAACCGCATCCAACTCGGATCAGCCGTTTCTGAGATAAGCGTGAACAAACAAACAGACAAAAAAAAGTTAATTACATTTTTGGGTTCGACATCGACATAACAAAAACTCCTGCTATTTTTTTTATTTTTATTTTCAATGTACAGACAGCACTTTTCTACAATTTTATTATATGTATAGATAAGACATAGTCACTTACATGAGAACATACATACAAAAGTAGTCGCCAGATTATTTGGAACTCAAATAAATATAGTAAGATATTATTAGAAGTGTGTTACATCGTTGGTATATCAATTATTTTCTAAAATATGTTGTGAAAGTTAAGATTTACCTAAATTCGTTAATTCAGCTTGCATTTCTTATAGTAGACGGTAATTTGTTGTTAAGTTGTGCTCCCTCAGATGTAATTTTATAAATATATCTATATATATAAAAGAAAGTCGTGTTAGTTACACTACTTATAACTCTAACGACTGTACGGATATGGATGAAGATTGGTGGAGAGATAGATTAGAACATAGAAAGGACATAGGATACTTTACATACGATTGAAAAAGAAAACAATAATAAGTTGATCAAATACAAAATCTTTTTATTAACTGTCTTTAAGGAGGAACAGAGTTCGCCTGGTCAGATATACATTTCTATTTCTCATACGATACGACGAAGTCGCGGGCAAATACTATTATATATATGTTTTGTATAAAAGACTTCATATAATTATATAAATTAACAATATCATATAGTATATAATAATACATAATGTACCTTCATTCTAGATAGTTAGTTAAAAGATGTTGTTTTTTTGTCTATTGTCCAAATTACTGTAAGATTTTAAGTTATTTAATTTAATCACGAATATTTATAATTAACTTTACGTTGATTACAATTTCTCACATATAATTTAAGTTGTTAATAAATTTGAAGAGATGAAAGAAATATTTTAAAAAAGCCTGTCAGAAACATTACTCAATAAATAAGGATAATTACAATAAAATTATAACAATTTTAGCTACTTCATACATTGGCTGTTAAGCATTTATAAAATATATACCAAATATTTTTCTTTTGAAGAAACAAGAGCTTCACATTGAAATCGTGGAATATTCTGCCATTATCAATGTTTTTATTTGTTGGACAAATTATAATATTTAATACTAAATTAGTAACTAATTGAAATCTTCAAAAAACATGTTTTAAAACAATTATCTTATTTTTCAGATGCTGTCATTCTCAAGACGTCGGTCTTCGCCATAGCAATCGTGACGTGCATCAGAAAAATATTAATCAATTAAACTTCTAATACAAAATACACTGCGCACGTATTTTTTAATAAAATTAGTTTAAATTCAAACACTTCGCACTTAAACGCATAAAAATTTTCTTCGATTTATTCAATTTTACGGTAACTTCATGATTATTTTTTAAATAACCGGCTTAGGCTTTCAATTCGGATGAAAATAAAATCTTTGACGTATTCAAAAGGCATGATAAAGGATTTTTTTTAAATTTGTAAATATTTTCAACTGAATTTTCTAGAATGTAAATAATTATTTTATCTGTCGCACTTTAAATTGTAACTTTTAATACAAATTAAATACAATCACACATATTTTTAATAGTTAAGCTTTGTCTAGATGTACGAGACATTTAGTAATGTGTGTAGCATATATTTTATTTCAGAGTTTTAATAAATGATCTCACGCAAATTTTGTTTTATTTCTAACTAGCTTTCCGCCCGCAGCCTCGCCCGCGTGAAGTCGGTTATATCGCGTTTCCAAGAGAACCTTTTAAAAGTCTGGGATAAAAACTATCCTATGTTCTTTCTCAAGGTCAACTCTATATCTGTACCAAATTTCATTAAAATCAGTTCAGTAGTTTAGGCGTGAAAGCGTAACACACAGACAGACAGAGTTACTTTCGCATTAATAATAAATAATTTATAAATATCTGGACACCGAGCCTTGCTTGGTATTTAGGAATTATTAGTATTTATTTTGTGTTTTTTTTTATTTCGTTTAAGCATTTTTAAGTGAAAACGTTAAGAAGACACAAAAATCAACAACTAAGAAATCTACAATTAATTTCATCGATAATACACTAGGTATATTAGAAATGATTAATTTCTTAGTCTAACCTTAAAACAAACACTCATTGACTTCCTGGTTCTTAACTACGCCATCTGCTGTTGTGACGTTAAAGCAATTAGTAAAAGCAATTAGCAAAAAGTAGTATTACTACTCGCCAATAGATGTCAGGAAGAGTCATATTTTAAATGACTCATTATTGTTTATTTTTCATAAAATGACATTTTCTAAAAATGATTCCTAACTAGGTATATTAGAAATGATTAATTTCTTAGTCTAACCTTAAAACAAACACTCATTGACTTCCTGGTTCTTAACTACGCCATCTGCTGTTGTGACGTTAAAGCAATTAGTAAAAGCAATTAGCAAAAAGTAGTATTACTACTCGCCAATAGATGTCAGGAAGAGTCATATTTTAAATGACTCATTATTGTTTATTTTTTCATAAAATGACATTTTCTAAAAATGATTCCTAACTAGATCGATTTATCTCCGACACCACCTAAACTATACTAAATTTCATGAAAATTATCGGATCCGATTTCGAGATTGCAATTATATGTATACAAGAATTGCTCATTTAAAGATATAAGATAAGATAAAATAAGATGTAATGCTAATACTTTAGTACCTATATATTATTAACCCTTAACCACCTACCTCCCGTCTCACAGACGGAAGCTATTTTAAAGTCGTAAATATTTTGCTGTGTATGCGTCTTATGAACCTGTGCTTTCCTGTACCTTTCCCCCGCACCGATCAGTGTTGCGCAAGCACTTATCGAGGTCGGAGATGCGCGCCATTTTTTCCTGGTAAGTAAAAATCTATCTTCGAGTGTCTCAAAGACGGATGGTAGGTGTTTGTGTGACAATTTTTTTTTATTGGCTTAAGATGAAAATGGCTTTAAACGATTCCATTATTGAACGCTGGTTAAAAGATAACATATCGGATGAAGAAAATATACCGAACGATGAGTGTAGAGATGACGACACTGAAATTGGAGTACAATAGTACTGGAATAATGCAGAGGATCGTGTTCTGAAATTGAAGCCGAGGAAGAAACTACTTTACAAGGAGGTATGGTACCTCTTTCATCCCACAATGTGCTTGACGAATCACAGAGTTCATCTGAAGATGAAGTGTCATTATCTGAAATACGGTAAAGACTGAGAAAAACAAATTATTTTGGTAAAAACCGGTACCGTTGGTCATCAGCTCCCCAGGATTCTCGTTCTAGAACATTACAACATAATATTGTAGAAGAAACATAATATTGTAGACTAGCTAAACAGCTTACAACACCTCATAGCGCCGCGAGTGAAATGTGAATCTCCAGCGTGACATCAAAATTTCACTTCGACGTATCCTTCACTATGACGAGGTAACCAGTCAACCAGCAGTGCTTTCTAGTACCAAACGTGGTGAAGAAGTAGTCACAATGCGAAAAAAATGCTCAACTTGTGATCCTAAAAAGAAACGCAGGACCCAGTCCATGTGTTTCGAATGTAAGAGACCAATCTGCCTCGAGTGCTCGAACAAGCTGTGCATTGACTGCCGTGAAAAGCTGTAGGTTTAGAGTCTGCAATTTTGTTTATTTTTTTATTTTTTCTCTCTAAATGTCTCATGTCTATATTTAGTAAATGTTAAAAGATAAGAAAAGTTTATTTTGAAGTTCCTATTTACATTTATTTTTATATTTCTAAAAACGTAAGATTAGTCAACGTACGTAAGGCTTAAAAATGCCAAAGTATAAGTGTTGTTCATTTTAGTTGAGTTTATAGTAGGTATAGTTGATCACTTTATGTTTATTTTCTTTTAATAAAACATTCAAATACGTAAAAAAGATATTTCATTCTAACTGGACTCTTAATTTACAAAAATCTTTGATTTAGAGTACAGGTGTCTCCCAGACGGGAGGTAGGTGTTTGTGTAATAAAATTTGTAGGTAGGTGGCTAAGGGTTAAATATTAACTACAATAAACTTTAATAAAGTCTATTGTAGTTTTAATTTATCTCATTCCGTTTTTAGTGAATACTGAGATAGGACAGAAACCTTTATTTTATTATTTTTTCTTCGTTAGCATTATGGAATCGTTTAATAAATATAAATTATAATAAATTATTTGTTGGACGAATTATAATCTTGAGTACTATGTGCAGACCATGGAATGTTATTTTTATTTTGATATCCATTAAAATTTTAAGATTATTCACAATATGTTAATTTAGTTTGAAAAGACAATATCTTTAAGTACTCTATAATCTAAATATTCCAAATATTAAAATATGAAACGTATAAAATGTAATATTTTTATAATTTGTACACACCTTATGAAATGTCATACGTCACTATGAAGTTGACATGATCTTTGTCCGATGTAAACACGGCGTTTATCCACTATATAACCTATAAAATATATTAAAATAAAGATGGATCAAGATCCATTGAATGAGCTGGTGGAATTCTTGAAACCAGAGTCAAGATTAGACCTAAAACACATATCTCTCGACCATATACTAGGGTTATCCGGTACGGAAGACGGGATCCATGTTCTACTGAAAAATGAGAAAATAATACAATGTCTCATCGAATTGACAGACGATAGAGTCGCGGAAATAAGTAAAAACGCTTTACTGGTGCTCGTTAATGTTACGGCTAACGAAAAAGGTGCGTCGGAACTGTTAAAATACAGACCCAGTACGAAAAGAAATATTATTGAACTTTTGATTGGATACATACTAAATCCGGACAAAAAAGAAGCTGACGCCGCTTGCATGATACTCTCGAATCTTACTAGATCGGAAAACGCGGTAGAAGTATGCACGGATACATTCCTACCGCACTTAAATGATTTACTAAATGTATTTGTAAATACTACTTATAACAAAACCGGATCTAACTTGAATTACCTCGCACCTATATTCAGTAACCTAAGCTGTTCTCCACGAGTCAGGAAATGGTTTACAGAAGAAAATCCTCATTTACCGCTAATCAAATTACTACCATTCTGCAATTACGAAGCATCTAGCATACGAAGAGGTGGAGCTATAGGTACAGTAAGAAACATATCGTTCGATACAAATTATCATGAATTCCTCCTATCAAATGATATAGATCTGCTAACATACTTATTATCTCCGTTAATGGGTAACGAAGATTACCCTGACGATGAAATGGACAAATTACCAATAGCCCTTCAATATTTAGGCAAAGAGAAACACCGAGATCCCGATATAGATATTCGTAAAATGATTATTGAAACTTTAAATAAATTATGTGCCAAACGTAATATAAGGGAGATTTTACGTGATAATGGCGTTTATTATGTATTAAGAGAATATCACAAATGGGAAAAGGATCCAAATACATTGCTCGCTTGCGAAAACGTGGTCGATATTTTAATACAGAAAGAAGAAGAAGTTGGCGCAGAAGATTTATCTAAAGTCGATATCCCAGAAGAATTGAATAGCAAATTTGACGAAATGGACAAAGAATATATTGATAGCGTAAAATAAAAATAAAATTGTAATCATATGATTTTAAACCTGTTTTTATTACTTTCAAGAGTGTTTAAGATTATTTCAGTTGCAATATGATAGAGACTTTATCAAAATTTGTTCAGCATATTTAACAATTAATACATTTAAAATTTGATTATCATTGGCCTATCAGAGTCCACTGCTGAGCTCTTCTCACATGGAGAAGGTTAGAGCATTAATCACCATCGCTTAAGACGGGTTGGTGATTTCAAACTTATAATTTTTTACTAGTCCATGTTTCCTCACGATGTTTTCCTTCATCTGTCAGTAGTGTCTAAATCTTAGAAAGTACATATGAAATATAAAATGTTATACTTGTATAAAAATTTAAATTTATATTATCTTATTCTAATATATATAATTATCTACAAATATAGGATTATTTATGTATAGATCAAACATTACAGCTTAAAGATTTTCTGTACATAATAAATATTGTATTAATTACTAATTAATTAATTTGGCAGCCCCTGGCTAAATCTGGGAGTTTGCCAGGAAGAAGAAGAATAGATATTGTATTAAATTAATTACTATTCAATAATAGTTATATTTTCATTCATACGGTACTTAACCAAATAATCATAAAACACATATTGGCAAACATTAACTAGCAATGATATACCGTTACTAACAAAACAATAACAAATTAGTCGAAGTAAAATGGTTTAAAATGAAGAAAACAGCATCAAAATCTGTCGATCCAATGATAGAGCTACAATGGGACAAACAGACATTGATGTCAAACTCATACCACTCGTTTTGTGTCAGTTAAAAACTGCTATTTTTTGTAAAACTAGTTTTATATATATAAAATACTAAATTAATGGTTTTAATTGCAAATCAAGCAGTCTAATCTACTATGTAGTAAGTGATAAAATTATAAATAATAAAAAATATGTAGGAGAATGATAATCTTTTATTAATAATTACATATTTACATTCACACTTAAATATGTCTAGATTTCTTCTTTAATTACAGTAAAGATATATATATACATACATAAGATGGTAACAAAAACAATATTTCTACTAATAAAAAAAACTTAGATATGAAAAATAATCAAACAGTGAGCATCTTCATTTAATAATTATTTCTACTTTCTTTTCAATATCTGAATAACAATTACTGCAAAAAATCTACGGTTCTCGAGATAAACATTGATTTACATACAGACATATATCTTATATATAAAATTCTCCTGTCGCGATGTTAGAGAGGGAACTCCGAAACGGCTGGACCGATTTTGATGAAATTTTGTGAGCATACTGAGTAGCTCTGAGAATCGGCTAACATCTATTTATAATACCCCTAAGTCATAAGGGTTGTTCACACTTAATTTTATTTTCGGACGAAATTTTTTGTTTTTGTTGTTCTATAATGTAGTACAAAAAAAATACAAAACAAAATATTTACTTTTGTGTCACCAACCTCTTTTTTTTATATGGCAAACAATGTTTCTTGAGCCAGCTAGTAATCTTATAATAAAGTGAATTAAATGATTTTTTAATACTAATATATAATAATTAATTCTCCAAGCCTTTGTATGTCTTGATAGCTTCCATTCTCGCTTTCCGTCTCTCCGATGGAGTTGCTCCCTTAACTTTCATAATAATATGTTGACTTTTCTTTGCCAAATCTGGTTGGTAAGACGTCACATTTGACTGTAAACAAAATATATGCAAAAACTTGTATATATAAACTAGAAAACCATAAAATATAATCAAAACTATTATTGATATACACTATATATAAAACTAGCTTTCCACCCGCAGCTTCGCCCGCGTGGAGTTCTGTTATATCGCGTTTCCAAGAGAACATTTCAAAAGTCTGTGATAAAAACTATTCATGTTCTTTCTCAAGTTCAACTCCATCTGTACCAAATTTCATTAAAATCAGTTCAGTGGTCTAGGCATGAAAGCATAACAGACATAGAGTTACTTTCGCATTTATAATATTATTAGGGATGATATTTCATTGATTTGAATTTCTATTTTCTGTTAAATTTTGGTTGTATCAAGTCATAGTTGTAATACTAGAACATACAGTGAGCTCGTCAGAAGAAAGAAGATAATGTATTGACTAATTCTTCTCTAATTATCTTTTAAACATATCAAGAATAATACTCACATCTTCCCAATTCTCTTCGCAAGGCACATAAGTCGGTGAAGTCACTTCAACTTGTGGTCGTTGATCGTTATCGATAACATACATTTGTGAGTCTAGCATGTCGCGTTTAGGGCACACTGAGATGTGGTACTGAAATTAGGCCATTAACCAATATATATACATATGTATAGGGTAAAGTGTCTGAAAATCATGTAAGCCAATGAATGACAATTCTACTCTCATCATTCAATGTATTCATATGCGTGTGTCAGGTCCATCGTTGTAGTGAGAGGAGCTTCAACAGTGACTGGGACTTGTGACCCAGGTGTAGGTTTAAGGGACCCTATCTAACGTTAAACGATCACCTCCACCGTACAAGCTCCTCTCTCTAACTAACACAATTATTATATATCAAATGTAGTGTCCAAAAAACTATTTTAATACAGTACTGTGTAGTACACTGTTTTATATATTGTCGGTCAATGGCAACATACTTTTTAGACACTATGCCCTTTATATAAATAAAATGTGGGTCAATTTTAATGTGTATACATGAAAATCTTATATGTTAGTCAAATTTTGTCTATTTTATCTTCTTTACTATTGTGTAGATAAAAACATTCCATCAATAATTACATACTTATTCATTGTAATAATAATCGGTAAAATATGGACACTGCAAAGACTTGGTGAATCCATGGAATACTAGAAGTTTCTATATACCTCTCATCTTATTAATTATTTATTTAGAAAGCGTAAGAAATATATATATTTGATAATGTTATTACTCACGTCTAATTCCGCGTCGTTAACAACATGTGTTGTATCGAAGGGGCAGGTCATTTTCTTGCAATTTGGATGCTGTTTCCGACACTTCTGTAGATGAATGTGCATTCGGTAATGCTCTACTTGATGTGCCTTATTGTAGGGGCAGGTTGTTATCTGGTTTGGTGCGGGGGCCGCCATATCTAGAATCGGAATATACTTGGTTGGAAAAAGGTTTTGGTTGTTTAAAATATGGCTTTCATTTGTGCAAAGACGTGCACAGAATATTCTGCCAGTGTCAAGTAGAATAGACGAAAAAGGTTTTATGCAGTAAAAGTTTTTAACTTTTTAATAGATTGAATTAGAAAGAACATGGTTGGACATATTCAGACAAAATTACAAATAGTTTTCATGGACATTTCTATGAAATAAAGAGATAATTCGCAGTAATATTTTGAAATAGCATGGAGTTGAATGTAATTAAGTGAAATTAATCGTTTTTGGGTTATACATTTTAACTTTTACAATTTAAATATCAGCTTTGTTAGCAAAATAATCAAAATACACTCTCACAAAAATTATAACACCATTACTTAAATGGTATTGAAGCTTAAAAAACATTAGTTTTACTTACTTGAATATATACTTTACTAAAATATTAATTTACCAGTAATAATTAACTATTCAGTATGTACTATGTAGCAAATAACAATATTTTGCCTTGACGTCAAAACTCAAATATAAATCCGTTTTAGTAATCGGTAACTCGAGTTTGTATCGAGTCAACTCGTGTTCGGCGTAACTCGAATCCGCCCGAGTTGAATTCTCTCTAACTCGAATATTATTTTTGTTAAAACTTATAAGAAGTTTATTGTAGGTTTTTTCGTAAGTTTTTTATGTTTTTTGTCAATAAAATATTTTCCCTTATTGTTAGTTAAAATATTTTTCTTTATCTTTTAAAATCATTTGACATTTTCCTTTATAGTACCTAATATCAACGATATATTTAGGATAAAAATATAAGCATATAATTTAACTAAGGAAAACATATTCTTTGTGATACTAATATTATCTTATTTTCTTGAAAATATTGTGATTACTGATTATAAAACGATTATGAGCCTGTAAATGTAAATCTGTGCATACTTGCAACATAATGCTAATCTGATTTTATTTTAAAAAGACTGCTATATAATTTCATAATATAATTGGTGGTAAATATTATTTTTAATTAAAATTGAAGCCAAAAATACTTAAATAAATGATTCGATATCAAACAATAACTTTTTTGTTTCTTTAACTCTCCCAATACATTATAAATAAATTATATAAAGAGATAAAGAATTGAAACAGATAAAAATATTTTTAAGTATTTAATATTTATGCCAAGCTGAGGGAACAATTTCGAAAAAACTCAAAAAACATTCACTTGTCCATCCAGTTAACTCGAGTTACGTAATTCGAGTTCAACCCGAGTTACGTGGACTTTAACTCGGGTTAAATCGAGTTTTGTTTTTTCCGAGTTGGCACATCTCATTTGCTTTGAATTGACACAACTAAAAAGCAAAAATGCAATATGATACAGGAAATTATTCTTAAGTCAATATTATGAAATAAAATAAAAATAAAATATTTATTTAATTTGAACAATTTAAATATATTTTGTCAATAATACCACAAAGGCAGTGTGAATGAAATCATAGCTTAAAAAAAAATTTGGAGGGAGTTATTAAATGTCAAAACTCATAACAAACTTTTTAAAAGATGAAAAGTTTATATTTATGTGTTTATTAGATAAGCTTTTTGTTTGCTATTATTTAGATTGATTTACAAACTTAAATATCTGTTGTTCAGAAGTCTTAAAGCTTTATTTCTAAAATGGATGAAGTGTTTCGAGACCCGGTGACATTCTCTAAGGGAGTGCGACTACAGTCAGTAGTTATTACGAAAAAATTACATGGTAAATAATGTTTTATATACAAAGGTTTGTAATAAAAATGTGTATTTTCTTCAGGGAACTTATTAATGGAGAAGCAGAGTTCCACATTGATTTGGATTTTAAGAAAACTCAAATGGGATTGATGGGGACTTGTGATGATGACTTGTTCCCAGATATGGAGGAAAATGATAAGTACGTAAAATTCTTTATATTATTATCATTCATGAGCCATTATTAAAACACTTGGACATATTTAGCATATGCTATTTCGGCCATAAAATATTTCATGATTGGAATTTATCATTTATCAGCCATTTTAAAAATATTTGGCTCTAAACATATACATATATACTTTCAGACCAAAAATATATTTTTTGTATCCCTAAGCAATAAATAACAATATTTCAAAGATTCATGTAAAATTGATTAGCAGATATTTTTATAATTCAAATAAATATTTAACACAAAAGATAGTATATCAATCAAACTCAAAACTCAAACTCAAATAACTTTATTCAATATAGAAGCAATACACTTCCTTATTGATGGTCACTTGAGACACTACCACCGGTTCGGAAAAGAAAATACCCTGACCTGAGAAGAACCGGCGAAAAAAACTTAGCGGGTTTTTTTTAAATGTATATATATATATATATATATATATATATATATATATATATATATATATTTGTCTCATATATTATATACACAATTTAATATGAGAAAATCAGTTTTAATATTAAGAAGTTTACAAGAATCCTTTATTATAAAAATGTATAAATAAGATAATTTATTCTAAATGTTCCTGAAACTATAAAAAATAATTTAATTCATATAAAAAAATATATTAAAAATATGGTAGTAATTTTAGCATTAAATTGCTTTGGACGGCTTATTTTTTTAAATGAAAGTAATATTTTCAATATTGCTATGCAATTTTAATCATTTTCATTCTCACCTCGTCTGTCCATGGTCAAATTTGCTGCAAAGTAATCAAAAAAATTGTAGTACACCTAAAAATATTAATTTTATTTCAATGTATAGTTGTCAAAATCTTAGATCTCATTAAAATCTAAGATTTTGTTGTGTCTACATGTGATTCAGTTGCTGTAAAGTATCTGAAATGTTGGGAGCATGTAGTTTTTTACAAAGAGACGAAATGAAACCTCTCATCATTCCATGTATTCACGGTGCGTGTGTCGGGTCCATCGTTGTAGTGAGAGGAGCTTCAACAGTGACTGGGACTTGTGACCCAGGTGTAGGTTTAAGGAACCTCTATCTAACGTATTAAAGTTGCTTAGTATCTCCGATAAATATTAGTTTCATTTAAATGTTAGAACTAACTTTTTATTCTATAATTTGCAGCGACACAGATGATATGAAAATCTTAGAAGACTCTATGGAGGCTGTAGTTCTATCGTGTCCTGAATACCACAGCTTTGACGATTTATCATCTAAAATGATTGACTGTGTGCCAAGCGGTGATGTGAAAATGTTGATTATTGAAGAAGGTAACATATTATAATACTAGAAATCCCTGGCGAACTTCGTATCGCCCTATAATTTAGAAATATCTACATATTACGTTTTTTTATTTATATTTTTGGAGTTTACCTGTAAGCCATAAATCTCCGTGTTTTGAAGTGCGACAGAATGATTGACATTTTAGTTAGTTGTAAAAAAACGTTTGTATGGAAAATAGTAAAGGGCTGTTTTTTATGGTGTTCCCAGTAATGAATCAATTTTTTTCAGCTTTTATACCTTCCCTGAACCTCCACGAACATTTCAAGACTAAGATAAGATAAATCCGTTCAGCTGTTCTCGAGTTTAAGCGAGACTAAGGAACAGCAATCCATTTTTATATATATAGAAGATTACAAGCTTAAATAAATACCTAAATAAATGAAAATAAAGTAAAATACTGAAACTTCTAAACCTTAAATCCTTGGAGACAAATATTCTTATTCAACATTAATTTCAGCTTATAATCTATTGTCACAAGTAGCACCATCTGTGCCGTAATAATTATCCCTACTAATATTATAAATGCGAAAGTAACTCTGTCTGTCTGTCTGTCTGTCTGTCTGCTACGCTTTCACGCCTAAACCACTGAACTGATTTTAATGAAATTCGGTACAGAGATAGAGTTGACCTTGAGAAAGAACATAGGATAGTTTTATCCCAGACTTTTGAAAGGTTCTCTTGGAAACGCGATATAACCGAACTCCACGCGGCGAAGCTGCGGGCGGAAAGCTAGTGTACTATAATCCTTACAATTATTATTATGACAGATTATAATTCACTAGCTTTCCGACCGCAGCTTCGCCCGCGTGGAGTTCGGTTATATCGCGTTTCCAAGAGAACCTTTCAAAAGTCTGGGATAAAACTATCCTATGTTCTTTCTCAAGGTCAACTCTATCTCTGTACCGAATTTCATTAAAATCAGTTCAGTGGTTTAGGTGTGAAAGCGTAACAGACACACAGACAGAGTTGCTTTCGCATTTATAATATTAGTAGGGATAATAATACCGGATCATTGGAATTTTATGGCAACATTTAAGTATCACGTGTTTGTAAACTATAAATACTGGCTTCACACATCTTGTAACACATTACTGGAAGTAAAGAACATTAAGAATCAAGACTGAAACTGTATCTACATCAATATATAAATGTGGTATTTTACAGAAATCACTAAGATTGCATCCCTTGTATCTCTGTACAATACTTAAAGCTACCTAGTGGTCCTTCTATACTCAATATTCCTATTACTAGAACATTCCACAACATTCACTTTAATATTTCTACTTGTTTACAATATAGCTCATAGTTATGTCCACTCGTCACTAGATGGCGCTGCGTTTCAATGTCGTGTAATCGAAGATTTAACATTTTTATAGAATATAACAACTTTATATTTAATATTTGTCTGTTTTTGAATTTTACATATCATTATCATCATCCTATCAGAGCCCACTGCTGTGCCTCTTTCTCACATGGAGAAGGTTTGAGCATTAGTCACCACACTTGCTCAAGACGGTTGGTGATTTCAAACTTATAATTGTGAAACTATAAGTCCAGGTTTCCTCACAATGTTTTCCTTCACTGTATGTCAGTGCTGTCGAAATACTCTTAGAAAGTACACATGACTCGGTAAAATCACATTGGTACTTGCCAGGATCGAACCCCCGCCCTCGGCAATGAGAGGCGGGCCTTTAACCACTAAATCATCACTTCCTATTATTATATACCACATATCATATTAGTCTATATTTTCTTTCTATAAAGCTATAATTCAACTAATGAATTCCCAAGTATGAGGAAATACATCCATAGTATAATTTTTCATTAGTTATGTAATAAAAACAGGCTGTAATAATAATATTTATAACATTAATATATATATAAAGTCGTGGTGGTCCAGTGGTTAAAGGCCCGCCTCTAATGCATGGAGCGCGGGTTCGAAACCTGGCAAATTTAGTCCGTTAGACTTAAGCTGAGCTTTGCATTTGGATGAGTAAAGTAAAAGTAGAGTTAGTCAAAATCTTTTAGAATTCAATTTTATTATATTTTAAAAAGATACATAACATAAGTGCTAGATCTATTCTAGATTAAAAATAAAATAAGCAAAACTTGCAAAAGGCAAAATGGAAATAGTATTAAAAAAAAATTTAAGTGATAAAATTTTGATAAAACAATACTTTTTTTTCACTTCACATCGCGTTTTCAACATTTGATATTGCTACCAGTACAAAAGGTGAAGTGCGGAAGGTGAGGGGCGGAGTAAAAGCAGAATAAACTGGTTCAAAACTAGAAAAGAACGTGGCATTCAAAAATTTGACATCACACCTACACTATCCGTGTACACTCACACAAATGCAAAGCTCAGCTTAAATCAAACGCACTATACCAATGTGATTGTTCCGAGTCATATGTACTTATGAGTATTTAGACATCACTGACAGATGAAGGAAAACATCGTGAGGAAACATAGACTTCTCAAATTATAAGTTTGTAATCACCAACCCGTCTTGAGCAATGGTGATTAATGCTCAAACCTTCTCCATGTGAGAAGAGGCTCAGCAGTAGGCTCTGATAGGCTGATGATGATGATATATATGTATATACAGGGTGACTGGTGAATTACTATCAATATTTAAGGAGCATACTCGGTACATGATTCTCATTCGAATTATGTAAAAAAAATAGGTACTTAATTTTTGACCAAATTTCCGTATAAATAAATAAAGCGTTGACACGTTCCAAGTGTTCCAAGTGTGGACGCGTGCGGAGGCGTGCTGATACAACAACACGCCGCCGCGCGCGTATGTGTGTGTGTACCTAATACCTAATCTGTAGGGTGTTCATACGATGCGTAATTAATTACACACTTTTTGGTTAACTTTACTTAAAAGTTTATTAATATTTATGTTATATTAATTTTTATTTTGTCATATATGATCGTCAAATATCACGTCCTCAAATATTGATAGTAATTCACCAGTCACCCTGTATATACATATATATATATATTTTTATTTATGTGTCAATAATTTTATTTAAGGTTCGGGATGTCTAATCCCTCAAGATGCCATTGTCACAATACATTACGCTGCATACTTTGAAAAGACTACAATCCCCTTCGATTCTACTCTTACCATGAATAACGGACTACCGTTGGTATGTATATGTATGTTTGTCTGTTACAGAAATAAGCAATAACTAGTAAACCCATTCAAATATAATTATTTTTCATAGAAATGTATGATTTGATATATGTGGGTAGATCTAAATATTAATCTCTTTCTTTCAGTCTTGCTAAGGATTGATCATAGTTTTATCGGATATGATACAGTATTTTTATATTATTGTTATTAATAGTAAAAATTTTACCTTCAATAATTATGAACAGTAATAAGAACAATAGTAAGAATATATCTTTGATGTAACATTCCAAGAACTTTAAATGGCTAAAAAGAAATGTGTGTGAATGTATGTTTGTTTGTATATATGTGTTTGCTCATTAAATTGTCAAAATCTTTTGAATTACAATGCATTGTTAACATATATAATGGTAGTTTTCCAATTACAGAGCATAAAAGTGAATTAGTTTTTTAAAAACGTGAATTAGTTTTCAATTGCACCAGTAGAGTGCCCTAAGTGCTAAACATATAGATTACCTGCTTATTTAAATAATTTGATCAAGTCATTGCAATATTTACAAAAGTGAAAGTCTGTTATTAAAACTTATTTACAGTTTAAAATTTTTAAATGAAAATGTATTAAATTTCATGTATAGATTGTAAAAAATAGTCAATGTTTACCTTTATCAATCCTTTGTAACAGAGTGGGAATTAAATATCTGATAATTTTGAAAAAAATACGATAAGACGAGAACTTAATTTTTTTTAAACAATAACTAATTTAATTACTAACGATGACAGAAATAAAATTTGAAATCAATTCCAACTTAAAGAAATAACACCTCTTAATTTTCTGTCATAAAGTTGGTATCGATAGCACGCATTACAAAGCAGTACTTTTAGTAAGCAGTAATTAGACATTCAACGCTGAGCATTATGCCGCATAATGCGCCCTGTAATTGAAAAACTACGAATATAGATCAGTTATTTCAATTCAAACCAATATTTACCAATTCAGTACCATAGAAAATATACAGGGTGACTGGTGAATTACTATCAATATTTAAGGAGCATACTCTGTACATGATTCTCATTCGAATTATGTAAAAAAAATAGGTACTTAATTTTTGACCAAATTTCCGTATAAATAAATAGTGTACACGTTCCAAGTGTTCCAAGTGTGGACGCGTGCGGCCGCGTGCTGATACAACACTACGCCGCCGCCGCGTCTGTGTGAGTGTGTGTGTATACCTAATCTGTAGGGTGTTCACACGATGCGTAATTAATTACATAACTTTTGGTTAACTTTACTTAGAAGTTTATTAATATTTATGTTATATTAATTTTTATTCTGTCATATATGATCGTCAAATATCAATATCACAAATACACTAATATAGTAAATAATATATATATTACAGAAAATGCAGTTAGGAAAAGGCCGTTTCATCCCCGGTTTAGAGATAGGCCTTACATGTGTGCGTGGACCGAAGGCCCATTTTCAATTGATGCTGTCTCCGCGGGTGGCGTGGGGCGAGAGGGGAGCCCTACCTCGTATTAGGCCTGACAGAGCCCTATTTATTATCCAGATATATGATGTCACTGATGTCTCGGCACCGGCGAGGTTAGTTCAACTTATTGTGTTCAACGCCATCTATTGTTAGATAGCTTAAGTTTTATCATATACTAGCTTTCCGTCCGCAGCTTCGCCGGCGTGGAGTTCGGTTATATCGCGATTCCAAGAGAACCTTCCATAAGTCTGGGATAAAAACTATCCTATGTTCTTCCTCAAGGTCAACTCTATCTCTGTACCAAATTTCATTAAAATCAGTTCAGTGGTTTAGGCGTCAAAGCGTAACAGATAGACAGACAGAGTTACTTTCGCATTTATAATATTAGTAGGGATTTTTCTTTACATTAAAAAAGGTTTTATTGAAATTAAATCTAGCTACCTAAGTCTTCAATACTTTGCAGCCGCTATATATAAACCTAGCCAGATAGGTCTTTAATAACAAATTAAATTACAATAGTTGAATTTTAAGTGTGTATGTGTGTGTATTTCAGGTTCAATGACCTCCCTATGGAGGAACAGAGAAAGTTTCAAGTGACGATGGAAACGGTGAAATCAATACATTCCCAGGCTAAGGAGCTGTACTCGAAGAAAAAATACATCAAAGCAATAAGAAACTACCAACAATCGGTCTCCATACTCAATATTTGTAACACAAAAGACGAAAACGAAGAAAATAGTGTTAAAGATTTAAAAATTAAATCCTACACAAACCTAGCTGTCTGTTATTATAAGCTTAGCAAACCCAAATACGTTCTCAACATGTGCGAAACTTTAGACTATCTCACAAATACTGATAAGCACTGCAAAATATTGTTCTACTACGCCCGAGCATACGAAATGCTCAACAAATACGACCTAGCTATGACATATTATAAAAAAGCATTGAAAATCGAACCCCACAACAAAGAAATAGGCGACGCGTTGACTAATTTAGATAAATACAACAAAAATTCCGCTGTAAAAGAGAAAGAAATATGGCGGAATGTATTCAAAAGTGATTTAAATAAGAAAGTACAGTACAACGTTGATGAGGATTTTCAAAATAGCGTCAATAATATGTGTCAAGAATTGGCGGGAAAAGTTGAGTACTCGAAGTTTGATTTGCCGAGCGGCCTGACGAAGGACGAGGTCGAATGTATCAAGGATGTGTGTTCGAAATTCGAAAGTTTGGTTGTCATGGAAACCGGGGCGGGAAAAAATGTGTCAATTGTAAAGAGGTTGTCGAATTGAGGTTTTAGTGTTTAAGAAATACCTAAATGGATTTTTTATTTTGATTAAAAATTTTATATTAAATGTTTGTTTGTTTTTTTATTCTTTTTTCTAGAATTTGAGTCTTTAATTTTAGAGAAATTTACGAACAATTTAATAACTTTCTTCCTTCAATATAAGTGAAAAATTCAACCCTTATATATATTGAAATAGGAACTATTTCTCTATTTTAACGCCAGCACACATGACACAACCAATACCTTTGCTCTTAGTTATCCTCCGACTTTCAGGCTGTTGAAATCCCTACTAATATTATAAATGCGAAAGTAACTCTGTCTGTCTGTCTGTCTGTCTGTCTGCTACGCTTTCACGCCTAAACCACTGAACTGATTTTAATGAAATTTGGTACAGAGTTGACCTTGAGAAAGAACATAGGATAGTTTTTATGCCAGACTTTTGAAAGGTTCTCTTGGAAACGCGATATAACCGAACTCCACGCGGCGAAGCTGCGGGCGGAAAGCTAGTGCTAAATAAATAGACGATTTGACGAATCTATACTAATATTATAAAGCTGAAGAGTTTGTTTGTTTGTTTGAAAGCGCTTATCTCCGAAACTACTGGTTCGAATTGAATAATTCTTTTTGTGTTGGATAGTCCAGTTATCGAGGAAGGCTTTGGGCTATATAATATCACGCTACGACCAATAGGAGCAAAGATATATTGGTAAATGTGTAAAAAACGGGAGAAATTATTTCATCTTTGAAGCCTTCCGTTGCGTGCGCCGTGAAAACGGTTCAAGATACACAAAAAATATGTATGTAAGAATAATAGCTCTTTTAATGATCTAAAAAACAGTCCGCGACAGTATATGTCTATCTTTTAAGATTAACTCACAAAAACCGTTTTTATGGTACCTAATGTGGTTGAAATAATTTGTTTAAGTTGTATCAACATAATAATATTAATCTTTATTCAACTAAACAAATAAATATGTTGTTGGTTAAGAGTACTTCATTATGAATTTAAAAAAAAACATAGGTTTTATCCTGAAAATTCTACGGGAATTCGACCATTCCTAAAACCCCGCAAGAACGGGAACTATGTGGGAAGAACCAAAAATCTGCCGAAAGTCTCTATTCCACGCGGACGAAGTCGCTTCAAAAGCTAGTATTTTATATCGAAAAAGTCCGATCCCGGCAACAATTCGAGCAAGACTGTTTTTATTTTCATTTTGTCATTTACTGTTAGCCCTATTGGTTTTTGCAGCGTCTTGTTTTTAGTTCTAGCATCGCATATGTAATTATAAACTACCAGCTCTTAATAATTATAAACTACCCTGAATTATTAATTAAATATAGTTATTTGCTCCGATATATAGGTATGACTCAATTCTCAAATATAAAGTAAATATAAGCAAAACACAAATTGATCGTACTGAAAATATTTATTCAGTGAAGTTAAAAAAAAATTAACCTTAATTTAATGGTATTAAAACAATGCTTAGATTATTTCTGAGAGTTTAACAATGGCATATATTTCGAATTTAAAAACGTTTTTTGAAATAAAACATACTTAGAGCGTAAAAAACAATAGGGAATATACATAAAATTTAAAATGACCTAAAATATTATTTTCTCGAATACTTGTTATCCTTATATTATTATGAAAAAGTTTTTCTATTTACTTATTATTTAAAACCCTAAAATAATATTCAAAATGTGCAAAATAAAGGCGCGAAATTCAAACTCCCAAAACGCGCCACCATTGGTCGAACGAAATGTGACGTCATCTGACACAAAATTGCACTCATCAGCGTCAAAACTCATACTGTTTTACAAGATTATGTATTAGATGTAGAGTATTTTGAAGTCTATTCATATTTTCTCTGTATAAAATTGTAATCTATTAATTAAAGACAAAAAAACATGATTACTGCCTAATAAAGTTTTAGTTATCTCATTTTTGTTATGTATTTGCTGTTTTGGCCAGAAGCGTATATTAAGCAATAACTTCCAGCATTTCAACCCATGAAACTGTTGTAATATACTAAATTTATTAAGTGTATGTAATAATCATATAAATAGAATTAAATTCAATATTAATAAATATAGTTATTAAAATATTTTTCAGTGAATAACGGAACGTAAATGTCAAGTGACATACACAAATGACGTGTAATAAGGTTTCACAAGCAGATATTTTAAAACGTACGCAGATATCGTATAAATTTTTATCAATAACATCGATTCGATAAGCTATTTTATCGTTTGTCCACGTATTACTTATACAACAAATTAATTTTTCACACCTTCGCGGTATTTAAAACAATATTTGAAACGGTAAGTTAGAATACGTGTGGATAACTTGGGATGTGTTTAAAAGTTAGTTTTATGTGATTTTGTGAATAGTGATAATCGTTTTCAGAAAATGATACGTTTGTTAATATTGCTGGCGACGCTCCAGTGTACTATATCTCAGCAATATCAGCAAAAAGTCGCCCCGGGTGTACCGCCACAGAATTATCAGGTAACTTAATATAATGTAATAATTAATATTATAATTTTATTCCAAATAACCGGACTCTATATAAGACCTCGACGAGTTTAAAATAGAATAATTTTACATTAATGAACCTAATTTTTTATACATATGTAAATTATTTAAGTTATTATCTTAAAATAATAAGAATAAAATAAAAATTATGTTTGATATATTAAAATTTAGTGAATATTTGATGAACACATGTATAATATATTATATCATTCATGTTGAATTTCTTAACACTTTCTCTTTCTTAATGAAAAGTGAAAGTTTTTTGGCCATATGTGATACAATAGTATTTGTATATATAACTAAATATTGGCATATATTAGCATTAGCTCAAAATAGGAATATAATAATCATGACTAAGAATTTTCTTTAATTCACAAATATTATATTGAAAACTATAACACAATGTGGTTGAATCACAGTCATATGTTATAACAAATGATGATGGACATATTGTATTGTGTTTTTTTTTTTGATAAAAATACCAACATTTTGGATATTTTTTGTTAATAATTCATACATATATAGTTATATTCGACAATGTTTGTATGAAATCCTTAATAATAATATGTATAACATATAATTTTGATATATATATTGAAGAGATCATTCATATAGTTTGTATACCACATACATACAGTTTTTAATTTTTTTCATATTTTAGTATAAATACTAAAATTATTATCTTGTCAATAGATATTTGATAGGTGATAGAAAATCATTAACCTTTTTTTAAATTCAGATTACTTATTATTTTGAAATACATACTCCCAATGTTTTAATTACTTTGCAACCATGATCACAAAGACGAGATGTGAAAATCATTTCTATGTTAAGTTTGACGATATAATTTAGTGGTTAAGTTACAGAGTTGAACCTGTGACTTATATTAAACATTTGACCTCTCACACTCGAATAGAGTTTGGGAATTCCCAGTGAGGAAAGTCGAATAATTTGCTTATAGACTGCTCAGATAAGAAAAATAAGTGGTTTATGTACAGAATAATCTCTTAACTACTAATGATATTTTGTTTGTAACTTAAATATAAATTACTGTATTATTCTTCTTTAAATTTTTCCATAATTTATGAAGTTTTTATGAACTGTTTGAGTGATACACACATTGTATAGCATCACTTAATTTAATAGTAAATTAATTATAATTGTTTAATTAAAAATTAATTTACTGTATATATAATGATATTCATTGATTGGAATTTCTGTTAATTTTTGATTGTATGAAGTCATAGTTGTAATACTAGAACATATAGTGAGTTTGTCAGAAGAAAGAAGATAATGTATCTTTGACTAATTCTGCTCTAATTATCTTTTAAACATCAGAAAATTATTAAATCTCTCAATACACTTACCAGTGGTATTGAAATTACATATATATATATTGATATATATAAAATTGTATTGCTGTTTGTTAGTCTCGAGTACGGCTGAACGGATTTATCTTCTTGTTTATTTAACGTGGATTTAACGTCGTGGATTTAACGTCTTGAAATGTTCGTGGAGGTTCAGGGAAGGATTAAAAGCTGAAAAATTGATTAATTTCCGGGAAAACCCTAAAAACAGCCCTTTTCTATTTCCAATACAAACGTTTTTTTGACATTAGATTTGACAGCTATCTAATACATATGTCAATCATTCTGTTCGATTGAAACAGGAAAAATTTAATAAATACCAATATCTGGTTATTTAAGACGGAATAGAGTTCGCCCAGTCAGCCATACATATATTAATAACTAGCTTTTGCCCGCGACTTCGTCCGCGTTAGTTTGGTCAAGAGTAATATATGTATAGCTGACCAGGCGATCTCTATTCCGTCTTAGAGGCCATAAGAAATCAGGTTTTTCCTGTTTCAATCAAACAGAATGGTTGACATATTAGTTAGTTGTCAAATCTAATGTCAAAAAAAACGTTTGTATGGGAAATAGAAAAGGGCTGTTTTTAGGGTTTTCCCGCCAATTATTCAAATTTTTCTCACCTTTTAAACCTTCCCTGGACTTCCAGGAGTATTTCAAGACTAAAATTTGCAAATCGTTTCAGCCGTTCTCGAGTTTTAGCGAGACTAAGGAACAGCAATTCATTTTTATAAATATAGATAGATGACGAATGAAGTGTTATATACATAAATGTTACATAATCCAATATTATATTTTTTTCCAGAACTATCAACAGCCTCCGCCTCCTCCCCCGCCGCAGCAGAACTACCAACAGGTAAACCTACAACTCACTGTTTTTGAAGTCGGTTAAACTGTTACATATGTATATATTAAAATAATATTACATCATTATAAAATATTGCAATTTTTTATTCATTAGTTTTGTATAAACAACAAGTATCTTCAAATAAAATAACATGAAAATCTCTTTGTACTGTATTTTATCTTCAAAATGTTTCAATAATATCATAAAATGATTTAAAAACGTTTAAAATGTTGTTTAATATGAACCCAGCTAAAATCTACTTTAAAGTGTCATATATGACTAATATATTTGATTGTATTTTCTCTTGATAGCAACAACAGTTCCAACAGCCGCCCCAACAACAGTATCAACAACAGCCGCCGCCACAACAACAGTTTCAACAAGTCCCCGTACAACAACAGGGACATGGCCACGGGCACGGTAAGATTAGAATTGCGACAACAGATGGCGTTAGTTGTCATAGTAAAACATTTCACCAATAGATGGCGTTAGTTGTTATAATATTAATAGTAAATGATTTCACCACGTCGCCGATAGATGGCGCTGATTATAATATGGAATGAACTAATTTGATATCCAATAAATGGCGCTGAAATAAATATTTTATTCGATTTTATATATCGTTAAAGTAACAAGAAAAAATACGGTAGAAATTCTCATATAAATATATAAGATAATTGTTGTATGTTAAGTTAATTTAGACCTTGTTTAAATATATACAGGGTGACTGGTGAATTACTATCAATATTTAAGGAGAATACTCCGTACATGATTCTCATTCGAATTATGTAAAAAAAAAAAAATAGATACTTAATTTTTGACAAAATTTCCGTATAAATAAATAAAGTGTGGACACGTTCCAAGTGTTCCAAGTGTGGACGCGTGCGGCGGCGTGCTGATACTACACCACGCCGCCGCGCGCGTGTGTGTGTGAGTGTATACCTAATTTGTAGGGTGTTCACACGATGCGTAATTAATTACATAACTTTTGGTTAACTTTACTTAGAAGTTTATTAATATTTATGTTATATTAATTTTTATTTTGTCATATATGATCGTCAAATATCACGTCCTCAAATATCGATAGTAATTCACCAGTCACCCTGTATAAAGTACAATATCATTTACCAAGTATAATTAGTAAGTAAAAATATATATAAATATATTTAATTAATTTTTCCAGATCCTCAACTGTTGAACGCGGCTAACATCGCGCATGAGAGAGAGTGAGTGAAATTATTAAAATGAAACTAAAATAATTAAGAAAATTCACAATTAAGTTTCATAAAATTTTATCTAAAGCTACAAGAACGAAATTTTTTATCTAAACAAAGCTTTAGTTGAACAGATATGTAATCTTGTTAATCCGACCTATAATATGTCTGATATATGATAGTAAATCATAAATAAAATTTTTGGATTGTATCTAATTTTTTAATGTTACATTATAAAAAAATAACAACAAAAAATTTCGACCGAAAATAAAGAAAAAAATTAAGGGTGAACAACCCTTATGACTTATATTATGGGTTATGAAAAGTAGATGTTGGCCGATTCTCAGACCTACTTTATATGCTCACAAAATTTCATCAAAACCAGTCCAGGCGTTTCGGAGGAGTTCTCTGTCTAACACCGCAACACGAGAATTTTATATATCATTAATATTATAAATGCAAAAGTAACTCTGTCTGTCTGTTACGCTATCACGTCTAAACCACTGAATTGATTTTAATGAAATTTGGTACAGACATAGAGTAGACCTTGAGAAAGAACATAGGATAGTATTTATCCCAGACTTTTGAAAGGTTCTCTTGGAAACGCGATATAAGCGAACTCCACGCGGGCGAAGCTGCGGGCGGGAAGCTAGTTTATATATATATATATGTTAATTATTGAGTATATTCATTCCAGTCACATTCAAGAGCATCTAGACGTGCCAATAGATGTTTCCAAGATGTCGGAACAAGAGTTACAGTTCCACTACTTCAAGATGCATGATGCTGATAATAATAATAAATTGGACGGCTGTGAGCTTATCAAATCACTTATACATTGGCATGGTGAGTACAATAAGATTTAAATATATATATACACACACACACACACATATACATATACATATATATACAGGGTGACTGGTGAATTACTATCAATATTTAAGGACGTGATATTTGACGATCATATATGACAAAATAAAAATTAATATAAAATAAATATTAATAAACTTCTAAGTAAAGTTAACCAAAAGTTATGTAATTAATTACGCATCGTGTGAACACCCTACAGATTAGGTATACACACACACACACACACACACACATACGCGTTTGGCGGCATGGTGTTGTATCAGCACGCCGCCGCACGCGTCCACACTTGGAACACTTGGAACGTGTCCGCACTTTATTTATTTACACGGAAATCTGGTCAAAAATTAAGTACCTATTTTTTTTACATAATTCGAATGAAAATCATGTACCGAGTATTCTCCTTAAATATTGATAGTAATTCACCAGTCACCCTGTATAGATGTCTCCTATGTATAAGGCCCAATATGCAAAATGACAATATTTCAGTAGTCGTTGTAATTTGATTTCAATGTATCTCGTACATACAACTGATGCTGTGAAACTTTACATAGCAACTATAACATACATGTATGTCGTTTAAGATTGATAGACTTTTCTGTAAAGCTACTAGTTTTTTAATAATGTATATAAGCTCTTATATGTTAAAAAGTGTGTTAATTATGCTTTCTACTTCGATAAAAAGTAATTCTTTCTACCAACAAATACACATTTTTTAAATGGATGTTGTAGAATAGTATTATGAAGTGTTTAAAGCAAAAAAATGGCCTAATTGCTACATTGGCCCATACATAGGATCTATATATATGTATATATATATATTTGTTTATATGTCTTTTATAAGGTGTTTTTTGAGTGATATTTTGTTTGTTTGTTTGTTTGTGTTTGTTGAATCTAAATGTTATGTGTTTGGGAAGCTTGATTCATCATTTTTAATATAAATAAATATATTATATATATAAATACATTTTCATATATTTATATATAAAATTCTAGTTAACATGTCCATTGAAATTGAAGATTTATTACAATTAAAATTTATCTTTGTATACTAATTCCTTTACGTGACTTCGTCCACGTTATTTTCCTTATTGTGTTAAAAAAAACAATATACTTATAATATATATAATTTAGTAATATAATACATTTGTAAAACTACAGTCTACTAAAATATTTTAATTAGGGATAAATTACCTTTATGATATCCAAGCTATATTATTATAAAATTTCATTAAAATCTGTACAGCATATTAAATAGAAAATATCAAAAAACATTTACATTGATAATATGTGAATGTTATTATGATATATTTTTTGTGAATGCATGCTGAGTTAGCCTTTAATTGTAGTGTACTTTGTAAGATCATTGTACATTATGTTGGCTTCCTAATAATAAATCTATATATATATAAAAATGAATTGCTGTTCGTTAGTCTCGCTAAGACCCGAGAACAGCTGAACGGATTTATCTTATCTTAGTCTTGAAATGTTCGTGGAGGTTCAGGGAAGGTTTAAAAGGTGAATTTTTTTTATTAATTTCCGGGAAAACCCTTAAAACAGCCTTTTTCTATTTCCCATACAAACGTTTTTTTGACATTAGATTTGACAACTAACTAATATGTCAATCATTCTGTTCGATTGAAACAGGAAAAAATTAATAAATACCAATTTATTTAAGACGGAATAGAGTTCGTCCGGTCAGCTATACATATATTACTAATGACGAAATTAACGCGGACGAAGTCGCGGGCAAAAAACTAGTATATAAATTAATATGAGTAGGATTACATAATCATATAACTCATAACTTTCTTAGAGCAAGGCCATAAACAAGAACAGCAGCCCGGCGTGCCTCCGGTAGGTGAGAAAATCTTCAAGGACGATGAGCTCATAAATCTCATAGACCCAATACTATCAACCGATGACCATAACCAAGACGGTTATATAGATTACCCGGAATTCATCAGGGCACAGCAGAAAAATGCTAATAAGGACGGAAAATAATGACAACACTGACGTTATTGTACGATCTAAATGGCAACACTGATTTTTTAAGATTGTTTTAGGGAAGAAAATCTAAATGCAAATTACCCTAAATCTGGGGTAAAGACAAATACTCTTAATATTTACATACACTTTTTTCCCTAAATTTAGTTTATATACAGCGGTACTTATAATTACATTCCACAGGTGTTGCCAGCACAAAAGTTGTATATATTTTTTTATATAAAGTGCTTCCACAACCTAATGTTTTGTTACGATCTGTAAAAACTCGAATAAAATAAATAAATATGGTTAAAATCATTTAAATCCTCCGTCCGGGAGTTTCATATTAATTTAAAATAATTTATTTCATTACATTTGCTTTTGGGTTAACAGATTTGAAGTTTGTCACAAATGTGGGTAGTCTCAAAAGCTATTGCTGTCCCTTTCTATCTTAAGTAATTCTATATATCTATCTCATTTACTTCAAATCTGTATCATGCTGTCTCTGTCATTGCAACCATCTCTTTCTACTGTAACTTATAATTTTATTAAAAACGAACTCAATGATGTATAGAACTAAGATTCATTTTACAATCTGATGCTTCCCATGAATTAGAGATGATTGTTTTGTGAGAAAACTAAAGATGGGTTTATATTTTTGTATGTATATTAATGGGTTGTGTCCGTCTGTGAGTTGTTGAATAAATTTGTATGAAATATATGTGTTTTATTTGGCTTTATATGGAAATTTACTCAAAAAAACTAATGTATATTTTGAGGTCCAAAAGTATTTCAAGTATCTTTCAAACTAGATTTAGAGTTAGATGGTCATTTGAATTGACTAATGACACTACAGCTCAGTAATCGCAGTTACGTAGTCGTTACAGATTCGATTCTTGGTAAAAAAATCAGAGAATGAACATTAAATAACTCTTATTTTCAGTTATTTTGTATTAAATCGGTTAGTTTACGACAAAATAATGAATATTGATGAAAAACAAAACGAAAAACATTAATACAAGGTGGCACTTCACTTGGTTTTGCGTATTCGCTGCATTTGTCCAAATATTTGTACGTAGTCCAAATAGCGCAAACACGATATCCACACTTGGCATGCCAAAAATTCTTTACGCGTTCTCGCTTATTTGTGTATGTGTCTTATTTGTGCAAATATGTCAAATGAAGACGAATAAATCATCCACAAATGTCTTATTTGGCCGAACACAAGAAATAAACGCCAAGTGTAGTTAAAAGCTTTTTATTTCAAAGTGTTAGTCTTTGTGTTAAACTACCCCTATTACTGACGGGTAGTTTATAAACTATACAATAATAGTATAGTTCTTTCGTACGAAACTTTAAACTTTGTCGTATTTTGTGCTATTTCAAAGGAAATCCCATAAAAAATGGGAAATTTATCAAGAAAAGAACCCATTTTATCACTGGGGTAAGTTTTTTTTAATATTTGTATAATGCCAATAGTTTATTAGTATCCCGAGTACGAAATCACACTACATACGCAGCGTTGACAGTTATACACTCATAATTCCGAGTATTTCTTAGCATAAAAATAGGTTTTGGTTGGGTAACGGAAAACGCTTCTTATGCAGTGTGACGACTTAACTTGTGGTAAGCTATCTCGATAAGTTATCCTTTTTACTGCGAATAAGTTTGGAAGAAAATTATGAAAAAATATATATTTTTAATAAATAACGTTTTTTCATATTAATAAAGAATATTGAAAGTTTTTGTTTAGTTTATAGATACGATATAAATTGCTTTAATGAATCTCTTATATTACGTAGTTATAAATAGTTTATAGGATAGAAAATGAAATTAAATTTAATGATTGCTTTTTTTATGTATGATTTTTATCAAGATGTGGAAAAACTTTGACTTATAAATATTTAATAAGAACGAAATTTATTACTAAGAGATTGTCTCTGGAAAGTTGAATAGGTGTTACTCACAACTATATTGTTTAATCTTTAAAAAATGTATTTGACTAAACAACCATCTGCAAACAAAAAACTAAAACATAACATAAATGCTCTCTCAAAAAGTAAAAGTTACCTATTAAATGAATTAAACAGAAATTATTTGATAACTTATATTTTTAAGCCACGTAAATGAGACAGTTTGATATATAAAAAACACGTCATGAAATTTGGCTACAAATGATTAAAGGAGCTATATTCCAGCCATTCGATTCAAAAAAAGGAAGTTACTTGGAAAGTATTTCGTGATTTTTGAAAATTGGTTTCGAATTTCAAGTTAAAAGTTAAAGTTTTGGCGAGACTCAAGATATAAAAAGGTAAAAAAGCCAGCGGGTAGCACTTGATACAATATTTTCATACAGGTTATGGTACTTTGACTTGACTTGCGACAAGTCTCCAATCCTTTTTTACTTAAATTGTTTCATTTCCTAAGAGTGAATAGTCAGAAATAAAACTGTTTTCTGTATAAAAAGAAGGCTTTAAGAACACTCAACAGTATACGGCGATAATTGTTTTTTGATAACTCAGACTAAACAAAATTTTTCTATTTATATAGGTTCTACCGAAAGATGTTTCATTGGAGGTAGTGAGTATGGAGACTATAGAGTGTATAGTCTATTTAATTTGAGTGTTGATGTCAGGCAGGCGGCCGGTCGTAAAAACAATTAGCCAAAACTATTCACAACATGTAAAGCAGACCCTGGCTAAAGATGGGACATTGCCAGGTAGAAGAAGAGTGTATAGTCTCTTTAGTCGAGAGAAAAGGACCCAACACAAATCGAAATATTACCATAACCTGCTACTTCGAAATCGGCGTCAGTAGTATAATATTTTACAAAAATATACGAGGCACATGCTGGTGCACATCAATAAAGCTTTTCGGAGCTCGTACGCCAAAAACTATTGATTTAAAAAGAAAATATTAAGATATAAATTGTAGGAAAATTTGTGTTGTTTCATTTTTAAATAAATTTAAATATTTTTTTCGTAAAATGCGTCGGAAACGAGATATTCCCAAAATACTGTTTATAGCTGCCATTTTTTTCAATATCGTGGAGCGAGCGGAGTTGGGGCAAAGTTGAAATTCGAAAAGAACATCGAAATCTATAATAACACCAATTTTCAAAATTCCCGGAAAACTTTCTTTGTAAAACTACCAAATATTAGCTATATGTATATCCAATAACGTAAAATATGGAAATCTTCCTCTCGATTTTTATAGTTTATCGATTAATAATAATACAATTAATAATTCACAACAATTTTAATATTTAGTTTTATTTTGACTAAATTATATGGCTTCAAAACTTACCATATTAACTATAATATATTTATTGTTTATTTTTGTAGATCAGATTAATATTTAGTTTTATTTTGACTAAATTATATGGCTTGAAAAACTTACCAGAAACAAACTTAATAATATGTGCATTCTGTGGCTATTTTTTTTAGATCAAATTGATGAAAACCACCAAGTATACACTGATGATCAAATAGAAGCTGTACTAGACGAAGCGTTGAATCACACAGACTTCAACAGAGATGGCTACGTGGACTACCATGAGTACAGGTTCAATTTGGAGAAGGGAAAATCTAAAAGGATCGGACAAAAGAACTAAATTTTAATACTTTCACTTATGCCCAGATTCTATAATCTTAAAAATGTATTTCTTTTTAATGTTTTAGTTGTTTTTGAAACAGTTATTTTAGTTTGTTTCTCATCGGGTGAATATAATGTAATTAACAGATGTTGTGAAAAAAATATCTGTCAATTGTCAAAGTGATGTCAGTTTTGACAGGAAATATTTGTCAGTCTTAGTAGTTTTTCATAGAAACCGGGCATAAGGTCATTAATAATGAATTAAATAGCAATTTCATTGTTTGAATTAAATCATTTATTCTATAAAATAATATTGTTTTATTTCTTTATAATTAAATATTATGATTTGTTGTCATCATTGATTAATCCCAATTGTTATAACTTTGGATTAATGTAAGTTTAACATATTAATTAATATCAAAATAAGAAAGAATTGTTTTTAATTTTGTGCTATTTTTCAGATGACGACGGCGAAAAACACGAATCTCCAGTTGAATACACAGACAAAGATCTTTCTGATATTGTCGAAGGTGCTTTAAAACAAGCAGATCGAAATAACGATGGGTACATAGACTATGTAGAGTATAGATCCGTCACAGCATAGAAATTAAAAGAAAAATAAAGTAACAGTGACTGTCATAATATGAATTATCGAAAAAAATATATAATAACGACAATTTCTATGACATTTTAAATAAAATATGTATCATATCATCTATATTAGACTTGTTTCTCACCAAAATTTGTTTATTTTTGTACATTTATATTCAACGTATTAGTGTCTAGTCAAAATGGGAATAAAAATTGATTATAAACAACACACTTTTATTTTACTTCTACAAATGTCTTACAAAATTTTAATACAACTATTTTTGTAACATAGCTATATATTAAATTAATTAAATTATAAATTAAATTTAAGGAGCAAGATTTTTTCTTATATTTGGGAACATTTGAGCTACTTTACTATTATGAACAGTGAAAACAGTTAAAAAAATCAAATAATCTTGATTTAATCTATTATTACTAATTTGGCGAGAAATAATACAGTTTTCCGAATAAAGAAATATAATAATTACCCTTCACATAATATCGGACATTTTGTTCACTGGTTAAATAAAAATATAGCCAAAAACTAATCTAAAAGCTATAATTATAATTAATTTGTGATGTCTAATTGTATTTTTTTACCAGTCCAATGGATTTTGCATAGCTTCTTTCAGTGTAATACTGTTTTTGCTGTAGAATTGTGAAAACCAAGTTCTGAATGTACGTATGGTTTTGTCTGATTTCACGTAAGTAGGCGAGTTAACGTATCTCTTACTATTCCATATCGCGACGTCTCTTTGGAACTGAAAAACATCAATTAATTTATTGATTGAATGTACGATCGACTAGTTTTTATACTACATAGACCACTTATATGGCATGGGTATATAAAAATAATTAGATTGGACAACCAATGTAAATTTCAGTTATTTTTTTCGATATAATTGACAAAAAATACCAGAGTTAAATCTTTGTAAACATATTTGGATAAACATGGATAAATAAGGTACAAGACCAATTAAAACATACATTATTTACAGCTATATGTTAATTTTCACTGATATTTCAGTTAAGAACAGAATTGCTATACTCCAAACAAATTTTGCCATCCTATCTATACAATATACAGGGTGACTGGTGAATTACTATCAATATTTAAGGAGCATACTCGGTACATGATTCTCATTCGAATTATGTAAAAAAAATAGGCACTTAATTTTTGACAAAATTTCCGTATAAATAAGTAAAGTGTTGACACGTTCCAAGTGTTCAAGTGTGGACGCGTGCGGCGACGTGTTGATACAACACCACGTCACGACATGCGTATGTGTGAGTGTCAGTGTATACCTAATCTGTAGGGTGTTCACACGATGCATAATTAATTACATAACTTTTGGTTAACTTTACTTAGAAGTTTATTAATATTTATGTTATATTAATTATTATTTTGTCATATATGATCGTCAAATATCACGTCCTCAAATATCGATAGTAATTCACCAGTCACCCTGTATAATACACTGTCTCACGTACCCCACTAGAGGGGCGGCATGCGCTCGGCAGACTCACGACTAGCGTGACGCAGAACGGGGACGTGCGCTCTAGGCGGGGTAGTAGTGAGACAGTGACTAGTTATACATACATATAGAACAGGGATCCTATACTATCCATTAAATTAACAGCCAATAATATTGATTGAATCTATTTTATTTATTTATTTTTTATTCATTATTTAGTTCCTCACCTAACCAGTTCACTAGTTTATATTTTCATTATATTTTGATTTCTGTACATAACCTGTTCATATTTTTCTGTGTAAAACTCTTTCTATTAATTGTAAGTGTGTTTTCTAATGTATTTTTTTAAAGTGAAATATTTAGTATATAATATGTGTTCGCATAGTTGTTGTAGCCCGAGAGCCAGTAACAGATTTATATGACCAAGTTTCTCTCAAGTGATAATTAGTAAAACGCATCAGACAACAGTATCATAAAGCCCTATGACCGTCAGCTGCGGCGCAGTGGGGGGGGATGAGCAGTTGTAACCTCCCACGCTTGAAGAAAAAAAAAAGAAAATTCACTCATTTCCTCTCGGCTAAAAATTTACCAGATGATAGCTTATATGTAACTATTGATAAATATATACGTCAGCTGGCTGTATCTCGGTGGAAAAATCGTCAGCTGATACTTTGAAGGTCGTTACGGAGAAGTTAGTCAGAAACATTTATTGACCATTTAAAGGCATCAGCTGACCAGGTTTCCCTCGACTTATTGCTACCTGATTTTTTTTATTTATGACAGTATTATATTTAAATATAATAGGTACTGTGATAAATAAAAAACTAAAGCCGAAAATGATTAAATAACATTGTCATTTGAATTGCAATTTGTCATATTTTTTTTATAATAAATATTTTTTATCAAATAACTAGTTAATTTATACTAAGCAAATTGATTATTGAAATATTGGAATATATCTAAAATTATATGATTATATACTTTAGACTTAATTTATAATATTATATAGTTATAAGTCTAAAAAATATTGATATGGAATATTTGTTACACCTCAACACATAGCATATTGGAGTGTTATGCCGAATACTTAAGAAGACGTCATTTCCTCCCACACGAAAATTTGTGAGCTGATTTTAAAAATAATACTGTCATAAATAAAAAAAATCAGGTAGCAATAAGTCGAGGGAAACCTGGTCAGCTGATGCCTTTAAATGGTCAATAAATGTTTCTGACTAACTTCTCCGTAACGACCTTCAAAGTATCAGCTGACGATTTTTCCACCGAGATACAGCCAGCTGACGTATATATTTATCAATAGTTACATATAAGCTATCATCTGGTAAATTTTTAGCCGAGAGGAAATGAGTGAATTTTCTTTTTTTTTTCTTCAAGCGTGGGAGGTTACAACTGCTCATCCCCCCCCACTGCGCCGCAGCTGACGGTCATAGGGCTTTATGATACTGTTGTCTGATGCGTATCGCCAATTATCTAACGAGAGGAAATGTTTAACCAAATTTGCACCTGGCTCTCGGGCTATTGGGTTAATTCAGCTCATTTATAATTTTTAATCATTAATTATTTGCATATTTAGTTATAATCTATTGTGTGAAAAATAAATAAAATAATATATAAACCTGGTATGCCTCCATAATGACTAGTGCTGCCCCCAGGGGCGCGTTCATAGTGGGTGTATACACTCGGTGTATCACGCGTTGTAAGAGAGGCCCCAGAGGCGTCACTGATTGAAGGACCACCATGGGACCCAAAGGACAGTTGAACATGAGACGAACGTGCGCTGGACCTATCTGAAAATATATCTGGTTACTACTACGAGCTAGAAGAAGAATTCTTCTAAAGGATACTTAATGCTATTGTTCAAGTATATATAGTTTTTGTGAATTATGTCAGATAAGGTAAACATTTGGCACACATGAGATGGACCTATTTGAAGATATATGATCTGGTTAAACGAGATGATTACTACGAGCTACGTGCTCGAAGAAGAATTCTTCTAAAGGGTACTTAATCCCTACTAATATTATAAATGCGAAAGTAACTCTATCTGTCTGTAACGCTTTCACGCTTAAACTAAACTGATTTTAATGAAATATGGTACAGACAGAGTTGACCTTGAGAAAGAACATAGGATAGTTTTTATTAAAGACTTTTGAAAGGTTTTCTTGAAAATGCGATATAACCGAACTCCACGCGGGCGAAACTGCGGGCGGAAAGCTAGTCTGTTATGTCTTCAAGTATATATAGAAAGGTTTTGTGAGTTATGTCAGATTAGGTAAACATTTGGCACACATGAGATGGACCTATTTGAAGATATGACTTAACTAGCTTCCCGCCCGCAGCTTCGCCCGCGTTGAGTTCGCTTATATCGTGTTTCCAAGAGAACCTTTAAAAGTCTGGGATAAAAACTATCCTATGTTCTTTCTCAAGGTAAACTCTGTCTGTACCAAATTTCATTAAAATCAGTTCAGTGGTTTATGCGTGAAACCGTGACAGACAGACAGAGTTACTTTCGCATTTATAATATTAGTAGAGATATAAAAGTTTTGTGAATTATGCCAATTTAGGTAAACATGAAACAAACACGCGCTGGACCTAACTGATGATATGTGGTCTGATTAAGAGAACTGGTAGTGCGACCATTAACTACTAGGCCATTACAACCTTAAAGTTAAAGTAAAAAAGTTGTCAGTAGATTTAAAAATGACTAAATTTTGATTTTGATTTTACTGCGGCTCGCGCTGGGAGGTCTAATTTAGATAGAAATTAATATTAATGATTGTATCTACCTATAAATGTTTGTCACACCTAGTTTTAAGTTATGTGTATTGTATATTTTTCTTACGTAGGTGATGATGTGAACAAATTTTGGTGGATCAAGTAAAAAAATATATATATTACCTGTGTAACAGTGACATCTATCGGGAAGACGTCGTATTTCATGATGAGGTATTTGTGAGCTATTTTCATTGACGCGGTGTGGTCATCACCTTTCAACCATTCAGCATTCCAAGTATGGTAGCCTGTAATTAATATTATACATATATGTTAATATTTATATTACATGTAATTCAAATTAATATCGAAAATAATGTTTTTATCATATTGTGGTAGAGAGAGGAGCTTGTTCGGTGGAGGTGATCGTTTAACGTTAGATATGGTCCCTTAAACCTACACCTGGGTCACAAGTCCCAGGCACTGTTGAAGCTCCTCTCACTACAACGATGGACTCGACACACGCACCGTGAATACATTGAATGATAATATTTCGTCTCAAAATGGTCTTCTAAAGTTTTTGTGGCTTCATGCTTCTTTAAGTTACAGGTTCTAGTTATGTTTATGTAAATTTTTCCTTCATATAATAACATACCAATAAAATGATTGAGGGAAGGATATTTGAAGCCAGCGTCACTCAGCAATGAGACTGTATGCACCGCGTTCAGATGAGCCACGTCCGCACCGTTCTCAGGGATTTCCTGTTGAATTTTATTATTATATTCTTATGAAAATATATTTAAGTATAAAGAAAATTACTCTAAACGAAAAATATTAATGTAGCAAAAAATATTTTGTCCAAGTTAAGCTTACTACCATATCTAACTAAATTATAGTCAATATTTTATAAATATCATATATGACGTTATGTCTTTTTACCTATGTAAAAGAAAGTAGTTTTAGTTACACTATTTATAACTCAAGAACGACTGTACGGATATGGATGAAGATTGGTGGAGAGATAGATTAGAACATAGAAAGGACATAGGATACTTTACATACGATTGAAAAACTAAAAAAAATAAGTTCAAATACAAAATCTTGTAATCTACTGTCTTTAAGGAACAGAGTTCGCCCGGACATTTATACATTATGAAATTAAAGCATACAAAGTCATCAACACAAATTACTATATAGGGAAATTACTATTAATAGTCGTCAAATTTCCAAGAGCTAATAGTCTATGTTTTCCTTACTAGTCAACAAGTGTTATTACTCCGTAAATGATTACCTTATGGACAAGACATAATATTGTAATAAATTGATGAATAAAAAATGTATATAATATATAACTTAATCATGTATCCATCATTGTTAATTATCATCTGTAAAACATTTAATATGAATCTATAATTATAATTGCATTGTTAATTTAATTTAATAGTTAATTTTAATTTATAATTTATATCTAATATTTGCATGCCTTATGGTAGAATGTACTGGAACTTATACTAAAATCTATTTATACACCTATATTCTGTACTTACATTCAGAGCAAATAAATATTATTATTATTATTATTATCAAACCTGTAAATGAGCGTTAACTATGAACTCATTTCTTCCTCTGTATCCCCACGTATCCAATTCAGGAATTTTATCCACTGTCCATAATGGCTCCCGACCTTCGACATCATACCAGACCCACACAGCGCCATCGATTTCCATGGCATGATGGGTTTTTATGGATATGCCTTTTGGTACTGGAAAATAAATGGGTATAGTTATTTTTCTACGTGCCAATTCCCCAGCTATAGCCAGGGTCTGCTTTACATGTAGTGAATAGTTTTGTCTAATTGTTTTTACGACCAGCCGCCTGTATGATATCAACCCTCTTTAGGAATGCATTAATCAGTGATGTCTAAATACACTTAGGTAGTACATATGACTGGGAAAAATCACATTGGTACTTGCTCGGGCCAGGATCGAACCTGCGCCCTCATGCATGAGAGGCGGGCCTTTTAACCACTAGGTCACCACTGATTTAAATGGGTATAGTTATTATCTGTCACTATTAAAATATGGCCTATAGTTTCAAATAAAATCTTAAATCTTAAAAATATAAATTGCTTTGTTTTAGACATAAGGAGTCATAAGCACTAGTAATAATATTGTTAGAAATAATTTAGACAACAATTCCACTTAGATGTTAACTACTCCACAAGTCGTAACAGAATCCTCAGTCCAATAATTGCATCCTATTTATAATATTCAAAGATAACATTTAGGTGAGGGTAAGTTACAATATCATAGAGAGGGCGCTAGTTAACTATCATAAGAATCAACATTATGAATTGAAAGTGCATCACAGTTTAAGTTATTTCAAACTAGCTTTCCGCCCGCAGCTTCGCCCGCGTGGAGTTCGGTTATATCGCGTTTTCAAGAGAACCTTTCAAACGTCTGAGATAAAAACTATCCTATGTTCTTTCTCAAGGTCAACTCTATGTGAACCAAATTTCATTAAAATCAGTTCAGTGGTTTATGCGTGAAAGCGTAACAGGCAGACAGAGTTACTTTCGCATTTATAATCTTAGTAGGGATTTTAAGTGACAATATGAAATTAATAATTTTTAAAGCTTAATAGTTAATAAATTTACCTGTCTCAACGTTAGGTATGCTCACACAATCTCCATTCTCCCCAAATCTCCACTGGTGGAAAGGACACTCTATGCAATTACCACAGACGGTACCACCCACAGCTAAATTTGCACCCAAATGGGGACAATAGGCATCGACTATTCTGGCGACACCATCCTCACCTCGGTATACGCAGAAATTAAGACCTGGAAAAGAAATAATGCAAAATAAATACCAAAATAATCCATAAATATTGTAAAAGGGTTTTAATTGTATCCTGTGTTATTTTACTTTATCCAACTTTAATAATTGAGGAAGCTTTTAATTTAAATACATACGAAAAAATACAATTAGATTACATAATAGTAAAGTATTAAGTTGGAAAAGACTGCATTGACGATCAATCTAGTTATTTTATATTTATAAAAATATATTTCAATATTATAAATTCTATTAATACATGTTGTAGAACCTTGTCATATTTGATTTTTAAGAAGTGAATCACTGTTTTCAACAGTCAGCTTATCCAAGTTCCATTTTCATTTAACTATTAATACACTCACAAACACTGTCACTACTTTATTTCAGACTTTAATTCGCACTTGTAATTAGATAATCTTTCTCCTGAATGGCTCTCAAACTACTGAGTCCGTTCTGCCAATGTTTGCAAATATAAATGGTTTTTGTGAAATCATTACATTTATGTATAGTCCGTTAGACTTAAGCTTTACATTTGTGTGAGTGAAAGTAAAAGTAGAGTTAGACAAAAAAAAATTAGAATTAAATTTTATTATATTTTAAATAGATACATAACATAAGTACGAGAACTATTCTAGATTAAAAATAAAATAAGCAAAACTTGTAACGGCCAGATGAAAATATTATTAATTAATAATTTTTTTGAAAAAACTACAAATTCTTCTTCACTTGACATGTCGTTTGCAATATTTGATTTTACTATTAGTACAAAGGGTGAAGTGCGGAAGGTGAGGGGCGGAGTAAAAGCAGAATAAACCGGATCAAAACTATAAAAGAATGTGGAATTCAAAAATTTGACATCACACCTACACTATCCGTGTACACTCACACAAATGCAAAGCTCAGCTTAAATCAAACGCACTATACCCTTTTAAATTGAAATATTTAACTATGAACGGCCCTGACAATCACAAGTATAGTTTTTTATAAGAGTCAAAGCGCTCGGAATTGTATTTACTCAAGTCTAGTAGATTGTGCATGTCAGCGATATGACTAGATATTTCTTTTTGAGACATTTCATATTTTTTTAATATTAATTCTAATGAGTTATGTAAATATGTTGTCTCAGCCTGAAGAGCATTTACATCAGCCTCATTACTTTAACATTCTTAGAATATTCAATAATTTTTAGTCTGATTGTGTTTCTTTCTTTATAAATTTTTTCATAATTTAAGCAATATATTCTTGATTTAATTAACTTTTGAGTTTTCTTAATATATTTATTAATTTTAACGTATTTCTTTAATTTATTTTTACCGAATACTAGCCCGAGTCATCACCAGTCAAATCATGTTATTGTGATATCATTAGTATTAGTAATTGGGGACACTAAAGAGGCAGCATTTCCTACCAGTTCATCAAATAGACATTGGGTTTGAGAAGCCTTTAGGTTGAAGCTTTTATCTTCCAATTCAGAAATATATAGTTGGGCCTTATGTAATTTAATTTTTAACTCATTGGTGAGCATGTATGCTTGATCATACTCATCTCTCCAATTATCAAACCCACTGACTATTTGTTGCAGATTATTTCTTTGTTCTAAGTATTTCAAATGTAACTGAGAAAGCTCAGTTTTTAGATTATTGTTTCTATTAAGAATTTGCAAGAATTCTTGTTTGTTATCATCCCTTTCTTTTGATAATAAATCACACTGTGTCCTGGATGCCCTTAGTTCCTGGAGCGTCAGTTGGAGTTGTTCCTCTGCCTGACGTGCCTTGATATTACGAAAATCATATTTGATTAAAAAAAATAGACGTTGTATGAACTAATAATATAAAAGTAAGCAGTGTGATCAATCAGTTAATAATATTTAGTATGTAATGATATTAAAAAGGGTTTCTAAAGTGAGTTAAAGGTATAATAAGAAGTCGAACAAGAAAACTTTTCAAAATTGAGTTCATTACCTGCGTAATGTCATCTGACGAACTCAATACAAAAGAAACACTATGCACAAACGCACGACACTCAGTTTACTGTTATATTTTATATATAACTGATTAATACATTGATAAGAATGAAAGATCAGAACTAATTACAATTAATTTAAAATATTAAATAATTTTAATTTATTGAGAGAAGTTTTTCTATGACATTTTATAAGTGTTGCCACAGGAAAAAAATCCTTATCCTCACAATTTATAACTCAAGAACGGCTGTACGGATATGGATGAACATTGGTGGAGAGATAGATTAGAACAAGGAGACGGACATAGGATATTTAATTCTTTTCGATCGAAACAGAAAATAAACTCCAATACCTAGCTATTTACGGCCTCTGGGGCGGAATAGAGTTCGCCCTGTCAGTTATACATATATTACTAATTCCGAAATTAACTTGAACAAGTCGCGGGCAAAACATAGTAGTAAAAAAGTCTCACCTAAAGCATCCACGGGTATAACAGAACCGATGTTTAAGTCCCGACTCTCAACGAGAGCGAACCATCCATTAGGGTAGGGCGGGGGTAGTTTATCTCCCAAACGTCTTGTATTCTGAGCTCGCAATATATGCAGGGGTCTATCTGACCCCTTGGAGACATATTCGAAGCCGACTTCGGATAATTCCTGCAACAGAAAAATTTAAAAATATAGTTAAAAAGGTTAAAACCAATGTGCTTTAGATCACACGACTGAGGTAAAACTTCTTTCGCTCTATATATATGTATAGCTTTCCGCCAGCAGCTTCGCCTGCGCGGAGTTCGGTTATATCGCGTTTCCAAGAGAACCTTTCAAAAGTCTGGGATAAAAACTATCCTATGTTCTTTCTCAAGATCAACTTTATCTCTGTACCAAATTGCATTAAAATCAGTTCAGTGATTTAAGTGTGAAGGCGTAACAGACAGACAGACAGAGTTACTTTCGCATTTATAATATCATTAGGGATAAAGACATGTATATACATATATATTTCATGCACTGGCTATGAAAGGAAGTGAGAAAGAAAACTGCTATCTCCCTTACTCCTACAGTAATATACGAACCGTAACACTCTCTCTATCTCTCTCTCACTTTCGTTCGCCTCGCCCGATCACACTTTTCGTAACGTAAGCGTGTATAAAGTAGTTTTACTTCAAAAAATCTGTTCTATTACATACTTAATACCTACCTTTTTGTATAAAACCGGACTGCAGTAAGATTTGTATATAATATAACAAAATATTATAAATAATGCTAAAATTAACCCAAATTTAAAATATTTTAGGCTATAATCTACAATTGAATGAAACAGGACATTTAAAACGAGAAAGAAGTCGTATGATTGGTTAGAATCAAACTTCAATGCATCTTGGACCGCCATCTTGATTGCATCAGCATTTTAACTGAAATAAAATGAAATTATTAATTAAAATTTTATATAAATTTACAATGGTCCTACGTATAAAGGGTGACTGGTGAATTACTATCAATATTTAAGGAGAATACTCGGTACATGATTCTCATTCGAATTATGTAAAAAAAATAGGTACTTAATTTTTGACCAAATTTCCGTATAAATAAATAAAGTGTGGACACGTTCCAAGTGTTCCTAGTGTGGACAACACCACGCCGCCGCACGCGTCTGTGTGAGTGTGAGTATACCTAATCTGTAGGGTGTTCACACGATGCGTAATTAGTTACATGACTTTTGGTTAACTTTACTTAGAAGTTTATTAATATTTATGTTATATTAATTTTTATTTTGTCATATATGATCGTCAAATATCACGTCCTCAAGTATCGATAGTAATTCACCAGTCACCCTGTATATTACATTATTAATTTTACTTCTTATATAGAAGTTTAAATATAGAAATTCTTTCAATTATTGATTTCGTGAGTATTCTTGTAGGTGAAACTACTCACTGTATAAGTTTGAAAACCCACACTATTAATTTAAGATGCAAAAACTAAGCAAAGTCACTGAAGGTCGCTATATATTATATTTATCTTCTTCTTCTACCTAGCAATTTCCCAGCTTTAGCCAGGGTCTGCCTTACATGTTGTGAATAGTTTTGGCTAATTGTTTTTTCGACCGGCCGCCTGCCTGACATCAACCCTCTTTGGGAAATATATATTATGTACTTATATAATTGATATTTTCGTGTATTTCAACTCCCGAAACAAACAGAAGAATCTTATAAGTTTAACGTCAATGTGTGTCTGTTTGTGACATCGTAATTCTGAAACGGATGGTTAGCCACTGGTGGCCTAGTGGTTAAAGGGCCCGCCTCTCGTTGCCGAGTGCGCGGGTTCGATCCTGGCCCGGGCAAGTACCAATGTGATTTTTCCGAGTCATATGTACTTTCTAAGAGTATTTAGACATCACTGATTAATGTTGATTCCCAAAAGAGGGTTGATGTCAGGCAGGCGGCCGGTCGTAAAAACAATTAGCCAAAACCATTCACAACATGTAAGGCAGACCTTGGCTAAAGCTGGGAAATTGTCAGAAGAAGAATTCTAAAACGAATGGTCTGATTTTGATGCGGTTTTTCTTATTTCAAAGCTAGTTTCTTTGTTATGGTTCTTAGCTATATCTGATTAATATAATTAGTAGTGTAAAAATATCAGCTCTTTTAGAAAATGTTTGTCATTATTGACGTATTTTTATTAAGTTTAGTTAAATGAGATCTGAGATTTTAAAATCACATTTCGCCTGTATAATCACGGTTGTAAAGTAACCGAAACGTCGGGAGTATGTAGTTTTATACAAAAATAACGTAGCGTATTATATCCGCAATATTCACGAAGAGGGTTGATGTCAGGCAGGCGGCCGGTCGTAAAAACAATTAGCCAAAACTATTCACAACATATAAGCAGACCCTGGTTAAAGCTGGCGAATTGCCAGGTAGAAGAAGGTAGAAGTAGTATTAGTAAATATTAGTTTCTAGTCTAGTTAAAGTTAATTTCTTTACTAATGTTTCGTTCTGTGCTATTGAATTTAACAAATTTTATATCATGTTTTATTCCTTTCAAATCACAGTATTTCAGATATCAAAGCGAGAGATATGTATAATTTATAACCACATTGCTATGCCACAAACAAGGTAAGTTTCTGTCACGTATTGAAAATTCAAGTTATTTAAATATATAAGCGAAAAAAGGTTAAATGAGGATAAATCTTGATTTAATTTTGAGCACATTATAATTATATAAGGTAAACATATGAAAAATATTGAATTTTTATAAGGAAGAGTAGTATTGACGATCTTTGACATTATAATTGAATACCGATTGTGTTAGTCATTTTGTCTCGTGTAATATACATGGTGACTGGTGAATTACTATCGATACTTGAGGACGTGATATTTGACGATCATATATGACAAAATAAAAATTAATATAACATAAATATTAATAAACTTCTAAGTAAAGTTAACCAAAAGTTATGTAATTAATTACGCATCGTGTGAACACCCTACAGATTAGGTATACACACACACACACACGCGTGCGGCGGCGATGTGTTGTATCAGCAGGCCACCGCACGCGTCCACACTTGGAACACTTGGAACGTGTACACACTTTATTTATTTTTACGGAAATTTGGTCAAAAATTAAGTACCTATTTTTTTACATAATTCGAATGAGAATCATGTACGGATAATCTCCTTAAATATTGATAGTAATTCACCAGTCACCCTGTATATTAATAAATATTTTACGATCAATTGGATACAATTTGTCACTTGTAGTAAGATCCACGTTTAGACGCAATACTGACAGTAACAATGTTTTCATAACTCCTATTCAAAACAATTATTAGTCAAATACAATACTTTATCTTTCTGAATAAAAGTTTACATGAAAATCAGTGCAGTAACTTAAGAGAGAGGAGCTTGTACGGTGTAGGTGATCGTTTAACGTTAGATAGGGTCCCTTAAACCTACACCTGGGTCACAAGTACCAGTCACTGTTGAAGCTCCTCTCACTACAACGGTGGACCCGACACACGCACCGTGAATACATGGAATGATGAGAAGTTTCATCTTACTGAGTGTGGTATAATTTATAACATTAAGTATCAGACGAAAATATTAGGCCAAGGTTATTTAAGAACAAGTTTTATAAAATTTGAAACAAAAAATTATAATCTCGATAACCGGAAATATTCAAAAATAATATATTCTGAATTAATAATAAAATATAATATTTAGAAAGCATTGTTATCTCATTTTGTTTATTCATAAACATAACATTTTCAAAATTATCTCATAATTTAACTAGTATTGTGAAAATTCAGCTTAAATATCATCATCATCAGTCTATCAGAGCCCACTGCTGAGCCTCTTCTCACATGGAGAAGGTTTGAGTATTAATAACCACGCTTGCTCAAGACGGGTTGGTGATTTTAAACTTATAATTTGATTTAAGTCCATGTTTCATATGAATCGGAAAAATCACATTGGTACTTGCCAGGATTGACCCGCGTCCTCGTGCATGCACTAGAGGTTGATCTTTAACCACTAGGCTATCACGATTTTAAACTTACCACAATATTGTTATTAGGTATATACAATATAAACAATATAAACCTTTGTTGATAGTAAGAATTACGAATAGAAAACTTGTGGTAAGAATATCAAAGAAAGGTACAATAAGTATATATACATATATACCTATTTGACATAATTCTAAAAAAAATATATCTATATATATTAAATTTATTTTCTAAATGTTTTTTTTACAAACCAATAGTTTCGTTATTAAAATAAATATTACATATATATTTGAAGTACAAAATACAATAGTATAATGTTATCATTCATTTTATGCAGCGTTAAAGAATGTGTATATAAAGATTATATGTCCGTCTTTCGGTTCAATACTTCACTGAATATTTACTTATCGTTTTCTTGACTGAAATGTATAATTGACATAATTAATACATATATATCGGATTGCTGACGTCACTAATGTCACTTCTTCCACTAAATTCCATGATATTTTACAATGAAACTTCAATTGTTCTAAACATCTTTGTATTTCTAGAAGGTTCTATATTCATCAATGGTCCGCACTCACTGAACTCAACTGTCGTGCGTCCAGACGTCGTATTTATATTAAAATTCAAACATATATCTATTCTCCTTTAAATATTATGATTTCGTTTAAATTATAACAATAATTATGAATACTAATAACTTTGACAGGTTCAAATTATTTTCATGCCGCATCAGTCATTAAAAATTAAAAAAAATAATTAAAAAAATTAAGGTTAAAGAACCCTTATGACTTAGGGGTATGAAAATAGATGTTGGCCGATTCTCAGACCTACTCGATATGCTCACAAAATTTCAATAAAATCGGTCCAGCCGTTTCAGAGGAGTTCTCTGTCTAACACCGAGACACGAGAATTTTATATATAAGATATTATTTTAAAGGCATATATATTAGTCAACCAGTATTAGATAATAAATTTGTTATATATTCTAAGTTATGAATTTCTCACACAATCTTATATTATTGATATAAAGTACATACAGTTATTTATTAAATACTCTTAACGCGTCATCTGTAGTATAAAGTGCAGTCTTCTGTAACGCATACTATGCTCGAGTGAAAATCTTTTAAATACAAACATTTATACATATTTCTGTATTTATATAAAAGAAAGTCGTGTTAGTTACACTATTTATAACTCAAGAACATATACGAGTTTGGATGAATGGTGGAGAGATAGATTAGAACATAGAAAGGACATAGGATACTTTACATACGATTGAACAAGAAAAATAAGTTAATCAAATACAAAATCTTCTTATCTACTGTCTTTAAGGAATAGAGTTCCCCCGGGATATAAATTTCTAATTCTGAATCACGCAGACGAAGTCGCGGACAAAAACTAGTTTATAATATAAATTTATTAATATTAATTGAAATCAAGGTTAAATTCTTTTAAACATATTAAAGAATTGCGTTTCATATGACAGCGAAAGTTGACACTTTTAAATGGCGCTTGAAACAGAAAAATAATTATTTATTTATATGTATATAAACAATATATTAAAAGTGTCTGTGTGTCTAAACTGAATGGAAGTATGATTTTCAAGGTTATTTTATAAATCTAGAAGTTTTAAATAAATTTCAATACAGTTAAAATTAAAAAAAGAAGTTATATTTGTATTGTATTGCTTTTAAAAATTCGGATATTATATATATACTAGATTTTGAACGCGACTTCGTCTGCTTGAATTAGAATTAGAAATGTATAGACCGGGCGAACTCAATTCCTTAAAGACTGTAGATAAGAAGATTTTGTATTTGATCAACTTATTATTTTCTTTTTTAATCGTATGTAAAGTATCCTATGTCCTTTCT